TCTAACAGACCAGGAAGTTTGTCCATAGCTTGTGATGTCAGAGTTGCACTTAAAGCAATGGTTAGGCAGGATAAGAAGGTGGGCAGGGTGTTGATCTGTCCAAATGCCTCTCTGAAGTCTCTTGACCTGAAACAAGTATTATTAATAGGTTGTATCAATCTCATTAAAATCAGATCTTAGTTCTCGCTACCGCTAAACAAAGATCTGAGGACATCCCATTACGGGTCACGTCAGACCGACCTTGTGCGAACTTTGACTGACCAATGGAATGACCAATCAGAAGGCAGCTTTCTCGTGCTTTACGGCACTAATTTCAAATTGGCTACTATGCTTCGAAACATATTTTGACAAATTCTCGATTACAAATTTGAAACCTGAACAAAAGAACATTCTGGAACGGCTAATAGATGGTCTAGATTGTATGGATGCAGTCGTTAAACCCGTAACTATCGTTTGGAATACCCCGTGTTAAAGTTTTCGAGGTTGTATGATTAGAAATCACATTCCGACTGTCACTTTCATGATCTGGTAAGCGACGCTCTGATTGGTCGGATGAAAGGTCGTTCTGACGTGACCCCTAATGGGATGTCTTCAGATCTTTGTTTAGCGGTAGCGAGAACTAAGGTCTGATTTTAATGAAATGGTAGGTTGTACAGTCTGAAGAATATATCTTAAAAGGCAGTAAATGTTGCTTAAATGTCACCAAAGAAAGAACTTTTAAAGTACATATAAACCAAACTACAATTTATAACCACAATCTTGCGGGAACTCAAGTTGAGTTACGTGCATGTCATGCTCATATCAAACAATAACAACATACTAGTATTCAGATATAAGAATAGACTTCAGATGTTCCCATATGTATCAAAATGAATGTTGCAAGGCCTGACTTTGCTATCATCCACATTAGCATTAAACAAGCTGGTATTATGCTTCAGGCAATTACATCTTTATTACTTAATTTTTTTTTTTATAAAATGTTGTAATTGGTGACTTCACAATATCATGGTCTAGTGCTAGAGCATCCGCCCGGAGAGCGTAAGGTCCGGGGTTCGATCCCCGGCCGCGTCATACCAAAAGACGTTTTAGATGGTACTTGTTGTTACCCTGTCTGACGCTCGGCATTAAGGGGCTAAAACAAGGCCTGGTCGGCTCGGAGTCAGTATACTGTGTCTGAGTGGGGTATTCATGTTAAACTGCGGCATGGTATCTCAGTTAGCTAGCACTATAAATCGGCATCAGTCCGGACTAGTACAAGCAGCCACACAAACACACACACGTACATGCACGTCGCTATATAAGTGCAATAATCTTGGACGTGACGTTAAACCCCATTTCACCTTCACCTCACCTTAAAATTACGGGCTTTTCACCGGATCTATTTATAGATATTTGTACATGGACACTGACATATAGCGATATTGCAGGAGGTACCCATAAATTCACTCCGCAAAGTATTGTGTAGATTCTAAATATGGTTTGTTTGTATTTATGCATAACAAACTGGTAAATAATAACCACAAAAGACCACTCCCAATGATATAACTACAGAACATATTTACTTACCAAAAAAGTTACCATACTACATTCATTGAAGTCATAATCCTCCCGAAGGGTGGTTCCTTTTCCACTCACACTCAGTCTGCATGCTCTTAGGCCACGCTTACGTATGCTTATCACCTGATCCCTTTGAATGATGTTGAGGGGAGAAATTACCAGGGCCCACTTGCACAAAGGGATCTTAGCGCTAAGATGATCGTAACTCTCATACTTTAACATAGGCTTACAATAGTCGTAGCCCTTAGATCGCTTTGTGCAAGTGGGCCCAGAATAGATCCCGAGTTGTAACCCTTCTTCAGGCGTAGACGCGGAGCAAGCAAGTGGAAGATCAAAGATTTCCCGTAACCAGTGGGAAGACACACTATACAGTCACGCTCTTGCATGTAGATATACTCAAGAGCTTCTCACTGGTGAAATTTTAGTATTATGTCTCCATGTGTGCGCAAAACCTCACCCAGATCCAATCGAAAGCTTCCATTTTCTCGTACGCTAGATTTTGTTGATAAAACAAGGAAGTAGTCCGCGTTTCGGTCACATGATATACACGTGAATGCCATCAACTAATGCCGGAGTGTGAGTACCCCGGTCACGTGGTATATGTGGCAGTGGCAGTGGTGTTATGCTAAGTCCTTTTGTGACACAGATGGGTGTCAGTCTAGGTTCAGACACTGTTCTTGTGTGACACAGTGATGTCAGTCTTGGTTCAGACACTGTCCTTTTGTGACACAGATGGGTGTCAGTCTAGGTTCAGACACTGTCCTTTTGTGACACAGATGGGTGTCAGTCTAGGTTCAGACACTGTTCTTGTGTGACACAGTGATGTCAGTCTTGGTTCAGACGCTGTCCTTTTGTGACACAGATGGGTGTCAGTCTACGTTCAGACACTGTCCTTTTGTGACACAGTGATGTCAGTCTAGGATCAGACACTGTCCTTTTGTGACACAGTGATGTCAGTCTAGGTTAAGACACTGTCCTTGTGTGACACAGTGATGTCTGTCTGGTTCAGACACTGACCTTGTGTGACACAGTGATGTCAGTCTAGGTTCAGACACTGTTCTTGTGTGACACAGTGATGTCAGTCTTGGTTCAGACACTGTCCTTTTGTGACACAGATGGGTGTCAGTCTAGGTGCAGACACTGACCTTGTGTGACACAGTGACGTCAGTCTAGGTTCAGACACTGTCCCTGTGTGACACAGTGACGTCAGTCTAGGTTCAGACACTGACCTTGTGTGACACAGTGATGTCAGTCTAGGTGCAGACACTGACCTTGTGTGACACCAGTCTAGGTTCAGACTCTGTCCTTGTGTGGCACTGTGATGTCAGTCTCAGTTCAGACACTGACCTTGTGTGACACAGTGACGTCAGTCTAGGTTCAGACACTGACCTTGTGTGAAACAGTGATGTCAGTCTAGGTGCAAATACTGACCTTGTGTGACACAGTGACGTCAGTCTGATTCAGATACTGTCCTTGTGTGGCACAGTGATGTCAGTCTCGGTTCAGACACTGACCTTGTGTGGCACAGTGATGTCAGTCTTGGTTCCGACACTGCACTTGTGTGACACAGTGATGTCAGTCTAGGTTCAGACACTGTCCTTGTGTGACACAGTGATGTCAGTCTAGGTTCAGACACTCCTTGTGTGGCACAGTGATGTCAGTCTAGGTTGAGACACTGTCCTTGTGTGACACAGTGATGTCAGTCTAGGTTCAGACACTGTCCTTGTGTGGCACGGTGATGTCAGTCAAGGTTCAGACACTGTCCTTGTGTGACAAAGTGATGTCAGTCAAGGTTCAGACACTCCTTGTGTGACACAGTGGTGTCAGTCTTGGTTCAGACACTGTCCTTGTGATGTCAGTCTATGTTCAGACACTGACCTTGTGTGACACAGTGATGTCAGTCAAGGTTCAGACACTGTCCTTGTGTGACAAAGTGATGTCAGTCAAGGTTCAGACACTGTCCTTGTGTGACAAAGTGATGTCAGTCAAGGTTCAGACACTCCTTGTGTGACACAGTGGTGTCAGTCTTGGTTCAGACACTGTCCTTGTGATGTCAGTCTATGTTCAGACACTGACCTTGTGTGACACAGTGATGTCAGTCAAGGTTCAGACACTGTCCTTGTGTGACAAAGTGATGTCAGTCTAGGTTGAGACACTGTCCTTGTGTGACACAGTGATGTCAGTCTATGTTCAGACACTCCTTGTGTGACACAGTGGTGTCAGTCTTGGTTCAGACACTGTCCTTGTGATGTCAGTCTATGTTCAGACACTGACCTTGTGTGACACAGTGATGTCAGTCAAGGTTCAGACACTGTCCTTGTGTGACAAAGTGATGTCAGTCAAGGTTCAGACACTGTCCTTGTGTGACAAAGTGATGTCAGTCAAGGTTCAGACACTCCTTGTGTGACACAGTGGTGTCAGTCTTGGTTCAGACACTGTCCTTGTGATGTCAGTCTATGTTCAGACACTGACCTTGTGTGACACAGTGATGTCAGTCAAGGTTCAGACACTGTCCTTGTGTGACAAAGTGATGTCAGTCAAGGTTCAGACACTCCTTGTGTGACACAGTGATGTCAGTCTATGTTCAGACACTGACCTTGTGTGACAGTGCTTTCAGTCTAGGTTCAGACACTGACCTTGTGTGACACAGTGATGTCAGTCTCGGTTCAGACACTGTCCTTTTGTGACACAGTTGTGTCAGTCTAGGTTCAGAAACTGTACCTGTTTGACACAGTGATGTCAGTCTAGGTTCAGACACTGTCCTTGTGTGACACAGTGATGCCAGTCTTGGTTCACACACTGTCCTTGTGTGACACAGTGATGCGAGTCTTGGTTCACACACTGTCCATTTATGACACAGTGGTGTCAGTCTAGGATCAGATACTGTCCTTGTGTGACACAGTGGTGTCAGTCTAGGTTCATACACTGTCCTTTTGTGACACAGTGGTGTCAGTCTAGGATCAGACACTGTCCCTGTGTGACACAGTGATGTCAGTCTAGGTTCAGACACTGTCATTGTGTGACAGTGATGTCAGTCTAGGTTCAGACACTGTCCCTGTGTGACACAATGGTGTCAGTCTTGGTTCAGACACTGTTGCTGTGCAACACAGGTAGGTGACAGTCTTGGTTCAGACACTGTTGCTGTGCAACACAGGTAGGTGACAATCTAGGTTCAGACACTGTTGCTGTGCAACACAGATAGGCGACAGTCTAGGTTCAGACACTCTTGCTGTGCAACACAGATAGGTGACAGTCTAGGTTTAGACAGTGTGCTACATCGCATGATGTCAGTCTAGGTCTAGATGATAAATTCCGATCACACCAGAAACTAAAGTTCCATTCACCAAGATCTGCAAATGGTAAGATAAACTGACTAAAACCCTGTTCTTCTCTGGCTAAACCTTCCCTTCACGTCTGAGTAAGTGAATTAAGACAACTTCATATTTGAGGTATGTCAATTTATTGGTCATACACTTCTTTATCACAGTAGTGTCACATATTGAATAACTGACATTCAACTGTCATGATGAAACACAGATAATATATTTCTGTGGACAAGCAATATATAATCAAACGATCATTTACTCAATTCACTTGAATCATGAGTGCACTATGTTATTAACGACAGCCCCTGGCAACACAGGCTGTGTTACAGTTTCACGTTTGTTTACTGCCATATGAGTCGAAGCACAACACATTCTGATTATTGTCACCTCTGGGTCATGTCTTCAAAGATTAGATCCGAGTGAGGACTTGGTCACATCATGGGCTCGATACACCATCTTGGAGGACTCGTCAAACACAGACTGATGCCGCTCTCGCACTCGCTGCATCCAAGCTTGCACGGTGGGGCTGCTCTCATACAGGTTCTCCTCTTGTACAGCGTACAGCTGTATGAGGTCACAAGCTCCTAGTATGTCCGCTATAGAGATGTCATTCCCACAGAGGAATGGCTGTGACTTGAGGAAATGTGTTTCAATATCGGTGACAGATTGACGAACCAGTTTGCGATATTTCTCCACCTTACCCATGTCAATTGGTTGATTCTTTGCCCTGTGGATTTTTAGCTGCAAACAAATACATTAAGTGATACCAAAATTAATATTCAAAATATATTGATATTGATTCCAAAAACTAAATCGACACCATCATTAGAAATAGTGACCACCGTGGTCTATAATTATCTTCCTCAGGGGAGATAATCGATACTCAAACTCTACAGATATTTTCAAGTAAATTCCATTTGGTATAGATCCGAGGATGGTGTGTTTAACTTACTGTACTTGGACATTGAGCCGGGAAGCTAGCTATATTTTGTGATTTTATTGCAGCATTATGCAAGGCTGTGCACAGATGTACATGGAATGACTGTTGAATTCCTCAATCTCTGACAACCATCAAAAGGGAGACAATCTACCCCAACCAAGGGGAGACAATATCGTCAAACTCAGGGGAGATAATCAATACTCAAACTCAATCTCTGCCAAATGTCACCTCCCTCTTTGATGCAAATAGGTGTCTTCTGGGCACAAGAAATCCAAATGCTACTGCTACTACTTCTTATCCCCTTACAGATGACCAATCTGTAACACAGACTTGATCCCAAACATAAAAACTGAACAGTTGTCACAAGAACTTTCAATTCATGTTGTAATTCTGAATCAAAAAGTTTTCAAAAAGTAATATTTACAGTTTTGCATGGACGGTGGCTGTATGGAGACATAAGCTCACTTGACTTTCAGTCGGAGGAGCATAAAATAAAGAACTTCTTCAAATAGCAAACAGCAAATAGCAAGTGTGAGTTCAACTGGACACAAATGATTATGTGGATTTTGGAATGATCGAAGCAAATTTCATTCAAGCAGAGATGCCAACCCTAATTGAAGCTTTGGAGTAATCAGGGGCAAAAAAGTCATTTCATGTGAAAAAACGTAACATTAACTTTTTTAGAAGGGTCATCGCCTTTGAGAAGCAGTTTCTCAAATGCAATTAGTTCCCTCTCTGCACAATGATTGATCAATATGACAGCAGTGTGTTTTCATATGACAACCACTTAGAGACCTTGTATCAACACAATGTGAATTAAAAGCATGGCTCTCAATGGTCATGTTGTTGAATACTTCATGTCACCATTAACAATTTCCTCCCTGTGATATTTTATGCATGTAAATTGTTCATGAAGAAAAATGACAAAAGTTGTAATTTAGGCTGAATAAAATAAAAGAATTGGTTCTCAGGCAATGTTTTTTCCAAATACAGTGTGGGCAGTGTCTTTTTGGGAGTGGGTCGTTCAAACTAGTATGTAACCAAATAAACAGTTGTGTAACCAAAAAAAAGGTTGTGTACAATCAACCTGGGAAAGGGCCTCCCTACATACCGTATTCGACATAATAAGCGCCCAGGGCGCTCTCAAAATTAGAGATAGGGGGCTCTTATTAGAATATTATTTTGGTGAAAACCAACAGAGTTGAAAGATCGTAAATTTCGTGGTTTATGTTGACAGCCTGATATGTTTATATGTGACAGATATATTTTTTCCAGAATTTAATGTCCCATTATTAAGGGTGCATATAACACACGTATTACATTACGTATTCAATCGAAAAGGGTGCTAATTGGGATCGTTCACTAGCAAATTGTTTAGCAAATATCGCCGTGGGCGCTTATTAGAGCGGGACTCTTATTACGTCGAATACGGTAAATGTATTCCTTGATGAGTAAAATACTGGAACACAACTCCTGTTGGACTTGGAATATTTAAGGATTTTTTTTATATATTTTGAAATGGAAATAAAAACGAAACATGTGGCGGACTTTGTTATGAGGCGGGCGCTGCCTGACAACCAAGATTATTATTATTTTTAACCTTAGGGAAGGACAAGCATAAATGCATAATTTGTGGCTCAAAGTTGTAACCATTACACAATATAGTAATGGTTAACATTTCCAATTGAAGCATATATAAACAAATTATATTCAAGACTAAATCTATCATGTATGTCTATTCTGACAACATCTGAGATAAACACAAATATTTGAGATAAATGATTTCTGAGATAAACAATTTATAGGACAACTATTATTTATGTGAACTGAGTTTGAGAGAAGGGGAGGTAACTGTGGTGATGTTGATACTCACAAGTTCTCGGAAGAGCATGGCAGCACTGCCTCTTGTGTTCTGGTGCTGCCAGTTGCAGTATTCATCAATCTTTGCCTGGGCTCGGAGGTCAGTGCGTGGGTACCAGTGATCAGGAACGTTGTATTTACAGGAAAGGTACTTCAGAATGGCCACACTGAAAAGAAGGATTAGGTAGACAGAAAAGACCACAGCCCTACAGTGTCTGAAAACAATACTGCCAGGCTGCCATCGGGACATACAGACTTTAGAACCTGAGGCCCTGCCTAAACTCTTCAGGCCCTCACTTAAAAACTGCAGCTTATCATGCTTATTGTACAAATAAATCAACACACAAATGTACTGCAGGACATAAGGCCCCATACAAGTTTGAAACTACGGGCCCAATACCAGTCAACCAGTCTGGATTATGGCCTATGACTAAAACATGAATGAAAATATAAGACCCAGTAGAGTACCATACCTCTCTGTCAAAACAAATCCATTATCATCAATAACTGGCACCAGCTTGAAGGGGTTGATTCTTGCATATTCCTCAGAGAATTGTTCTCCTGTAATAAAGTAGCACAAATTATGCATGGATTACAGTGAGTCAGAATTATTTTCATAATAGTCAAACATGTCCCAACATAATCATGTCCATTACAGCACAGGGCTGGGACAGGTAACTGGTATGGGCCCTGAGTAAGATCCGGGTACCCACAGGACTACATGGACCCTGGTTAGTCAAATGAAATGCTCACAATAACAATAGAAGTTGCTTATGTTTGCATTTCTTTCTGACTATTCCAGAAATAGTGGCTCATGATTATCCATCAAAATCTAAATACTAATCACACTCAACAATACTTTCAGTGAGCTGGGATAGTTGGGTTTTAACACTAAGACAGTATTAATAGTTTATAACAACTAATATCAGATAGGTCTCAATGATCTGCTGGAGCAAGGTTTGCCAGCTGGTCTAGCTTATATCCACACCCAGTCACTACGATCATATGCCTTTCATGCCTATGAACTTGAGGAAAAAGATAATGAAACTTTTAGAGGTTTTAAAATGAAACTATAACAAATGTGTAACCGATGTTATATTTGGGATAACAATTTCTTAGAAAAGTACAGATTCTCATACATTTTTGGGGTTGAGTCCCGTACGGGAGTGCCAGAGTGAGGCACCTAATCGCCAGCACACAAAGTCAGCGATCTAACCCACTCAGCCACCGAGGCTTCCATAAAATGAAAGTCCGACAACTGGTAGTCTAGATCACGTACTTGTTGCTAGGGTGACGTCTCATGGCATTGTTTCGCCGATGGGTCTTGCAACAAAATTTCACAAATTACGTCATCGGCCACTCATCGGGTATTGTGACATTGTAAAGCTTGAGGTACAAGGCCCGTTCCACAAGGCGATCGTATTGTAGCGCAACGACAGTCGTTAGTCTAAGTTAAACAGTGTTAAAGTATGTGAGTTGCGATAGTCTTAGCCCTACGATAATTTTGTGAATTCTAAAGGTGGTATTAAATTCATACCTTTCAACTTTTGACGTGTTTGAAGTATTATTCTGTCAAACTCAATTGGACTATGCCGTGGATCGTGTAGGTGTCAGCTAGCCTATTCATACTCAACAGTATAATTCTAAAAACGTTATCAATGGCAAGTAATAAATAAAATACTAAACTCGCTCCCGTGTATGGATGTTTTTCTGCAGATCCTTTTTAAGTTTCCACCAAACATTCTCAATGATATTGAGGTCTGGGGACTGGGCAGGCCAATTTAAGCGGTTAATATTGTTGTCATGGTGAAATTCTTGGACCACACGAGCCCGGTGCACAGGAGCGTTGTCATCTTGGAAGATATATGTGTTGTCAGGGAAATGACGGGCGATGACAGGCCAAAGATTGTCATTTAGGATATCAATGTACTTTTGTGCATTAATGTTTCCCTCCACAACACTCACAGTACCAATTCCATGATACGTAATGCACCCCCAAATCATAAGGCCAAACTTCCTCCTCGATGGCGGACATATACAATCGCCAAACCATTCCTCCCCAACCTTTCTCCAAACTCGTACACGACTGTCAAGTCCCACAATTACTTTACATTCGTCACTAAATACCACACGTTTCCAGTGGTCATTCAGGGTTTTCCATCTTTTTCCCCTACACCATGCTACACGATTTCTACGATTCACTTCTCGAATTCTGATACTAGATAGACGTCTTTACGGAACGTTTATTGAATCCCAGTGAATGTAATTTTCTTTCAATTGTCCGCTTACTGAAAGGTCTATCCGTGGTCTCATTGAAAATATTTGTTGGTTGGTTTGTTTGTTTTACGCCGCGCTCAGCAATATTCCAGCTATAAGACGGAGGTCTGTAAATAATCGAGTCTGGACCAGACAATCCAGTGATTGATATCATGAGCATCGATCCACGCAATTGGGATACGATGACATGTATCAACCAAGTCAGCGAGCCTGACCACCCGATCCCGTTAGTCGCCTTTTACGACAAGCATAGTCGCCTTTTACGGCAAGCATGGGTTGCTGAAGACCTATTCTACCCCGGAATCTTCACGGGTCGAAAATATTTGTAATTTCATCAGAAGTTTTTCTGCGATTCTTTTTCACGCAACGTGAAAGTCGTCGGCCATCCCGCACATCAAATTTCACAGGTGTTCCTCGATTTTCCACATTTCCCCTATTTACATACCTCTCAATAAATGAGTATACTGTGCTGGAGGGTATTCCCGTTATTCTGACAATTTCAGACCTTTTAATACCTGCGTCATATAAAGACGCGATCCTTTCTTTTACGCTCGCCGACCCATGTTATTTACATTCCCGGGCGATACAAAGCAGACGACAAATGACGTCATAACTTCATTCACGTGACTGTCACGTGACGTGCTATACCCTAGCTTAAATCTGTTCCCATCTCGAGCTGAAATTTGCAACGCGCGCGATTTCCTGATTCACTGTCCAATACGTGAAAACTGCTGTGTTCGTTTTCCGAATACTTTTGGCGGAATGACATCTCCTCTCAATTTCCTCGGTTCGTACACGATGTTTAATGCAAAAATATAAGCATGAAAAACCTGGCACGATACATCCATGAAGATCCATTTTTGTAATATAGATGGCAATTTCCTGCTTAAAACGTTCAGAATAACACGATTTAATTTTAAAGGGGCACTGATCTAACGCAATTCCCCGGACTAGTTATTGCCTTTGTTATTGTTTTTCCCCCGTGAGTACCCGGATGATACGCAACGCAACTGAGTGTGACCAGAGACTGGGCTACCGTCTGCAAGGACAGCTAAATAAACTTGGAGGCTGGAGGCAATATTTGTTTTACGCATTTTTGAACACTGATTAGTTTAACCATGATCAATAAAGATTTCGACAAAAGGCGCATGTTAATTAATTTTTTCAGCCTAAACAAACAGACAAAAAGAACGGCGGAGCTCATTGTATGTCGTAATTGGAAATACCCCAGATGGTTATAGTTTAATAATAAAAAAAGTATCCATGCAGTGAAAGCATTTTCGGATTTCGGATTGCGTCGATAATACGATTACTACTCACTTGTTGTCATCCACGTTTTCTGGTATAACCCTACACTTGTGTATTTGTCGTCATTCACTTGATGCTCAGTTAATGAATTTATTACAGGTACAGTTAGTGGTAGCACCACTAAGATTACCTGACAAAGGTTCCCATTTGGCATTTATTGTGTCTGGGGTAATTATTCAATCTAAATCCAGGTTTGAAGTGAGGTGAAATGTGTGTTATGTAATATGCACGTGGCAGCCCAGCAAGAGGTGAATGATCAGTTCATTTACTTTTTTTGTAAATCAACGGATCGTTCCTAGTCATCAAAGGATTAACAGAAATACGTTGATTGATTAATCACTGTTATCTTGCACAGTGTCAAAAGGGAGTGTTTACATGTCTAGGTTTACTAAAACAAAGGGAATACACTCATATCATGGCGTGAAGTGTCGATGTAAAAACAACATACTGTGTTCAAAGGGTTAACTAATAATACGTTGATTGTTCATTGTTATCTATCACTCAATGGATTTTTTAGGAACCGTGGACGTAATGAAAATAGTTGTCACGTGGGCTTTTTCAGCCGACCCTTGCGACTTGACACCCATGTGAAACACCTGAAACAATCTAAGTGATCAGTTGAGAAAGGACCACGGGTTATAATATCCCGAAACGATATATATCTTTAAAAATATTTGATTGTTACAGAGACACGTGACATCGAATAAGTTTCTTTGTACAGCTGCAGACGAGTGGGATATTGTTCCTTTGTGTGGATATTCACGGATACATTCCTCGAACAAGGAAGCTGCCCAAAATTTATACATATAAATTTGGTAGGTTGTAATTATGGTATTTGCATTTTGTTTTCCTTCATTCGCTGTAGCACTGAACCGATTCGTTCCTGTTCCTCTACGTCTTGGTTGGGAAATTCTTCAGATTGACTAAATTGATTAAGACGATCAAAAGGGCCTAACAACATCACAACAGGTAATTATGTTGGATTATAAGCCAAACAACAAAGAAATGTACTTTTCAACGTAACATTTTCAGTCTCTTGGTGATGACGTTATGAATGTGTTAGATTACATTTTCTTTATCTACAACGAACATAATTAAGTTGTAAATGCATTATCTAAATAATGTGATAAACATAACATATTTATATACAATAGGATTGGAACTTGAAATGGTGTATAATATGTGGTAGCAAAGATGTTTTACAAACATGAGGATATTTTCTTTGATAAATGTTTTACGAGTGTAATATAATTACTTTGTTATCTGAATGTCATAACATGCATAATCAGCCATTAATTATATGCAGCCTAAATCATGATCATGCAATCTTGTCATATATATTTTGAAGTTTTGAGTTGAGAAATATAATTGCTTGTTGATTTTTTATTTTGCTTGTAACTTTTTAAACCACTTGCAAAAATTTGCTTGTGCCTAAAAAAAAAAAAATTCTAACCCTTTTAATGATCATCTCATATACAATAGCACATGTCTTTGTTAGACTTGGCCTAGTTAATTCGGTTCTCGGAACATGTCTGTCATCACTGTCAAGTGCCGCAAGTCCAAGTCTCCTAGCTAGTTCCTGTACTAAACTTTAAAGTTTTACAGGGTTTTCCCTTGACCTATAAAGACCTGTACTGTTAAATGGAATAATTACTTTAATGACAGGAACTCTATATTTCTTGTGAAGAATATTGGTACAATAAATATTATTGTGCGTCCCTGTGGACGCAATTTATAGTTTCGTGCGTCCATTCTATACGTTTCTGCGTCACATAAAACCCCTGTAATAGCGGCTGCTGCAACATTATGCTGGGTACAAATTCCATTACAGGTGAACATATTTCTATACAACTTTTGTCAAATAGTGTGACATGCAAAAAAGATTCCGTTCGTGCAGAGACCATATCTATTATATGGTCTCTGGTTCGTGGCATACCTTTTCGTAACGCAAGTACTTTATCTTCAGACGGTATCTTGTTTAACTTCAGAAACATATAAACAGCCCTCGAAGGCCGAGACATCAAATCATAGTACACTTTCAACGCCATTTTTTCCCTAGATTAGTTCCCGGATACGCCACTTATAGTGTCGATGACCTCCATTCCAGCTGATCTTTGATCGCAAGTTCTCGTCGACTCCCCATGCGCGTCGTCAACTTGCGCCAAGTATATTTCGATATAAGACGGGACCAAGCTTAGCTCCTCACAGCGATAGCCCATTCATGAAGCTCTCAACACCAAGGGTGAAAGCATTGACCAATGAAGTAGCAGTAAATATTTCGGGATTAAACCATTGGTCAATCGCTACCCAATCAAAAACCCGTTTACTCGTATGCAGATAATGGCGGCCAAATTAAATGAAAATGTCAACACACTGGTTGCGATATTTTTCATCTTGCAGAATTAATATTACATGTTGAATAGGAAAAATGGTAATATTCATTAGCTGATAAAACTTGTCTATTCGTGTATATAATATATAAATATATATTTTGGGGTTAATCTGCTGAATATATTTCGTTTCTAAGTCAAATTCACCAGCTTCAGCTTGCCCAAGGTTATTCATTCAGAATTTTGATCTTCGTTATCACAGGATCAGAGTACACCAGTGAGACGAAAACGAAAACCTGACAACAGTGAAAGCGAAATTGTCAACGCAGACAAGTCTTCAGTTCAGTGTGTAAGTCATATTAGAACATGTCAATATGAAGTTATGAACAGGTTTCAGAGCATGGAGTTCCAATTGCGTGAAGGCGTCCTCAGATGAGAACTCGACGGCAGGACCGTTGTTCGAATCCCATCACAAACATGTTCTCATCAAGTGGTCTACTCAGTATTCCGAGTATTCACTTTAGGGACTTATCTAGAAGTCCAAACTAAATGCATTTGCCAGGCAATTTGGGAAAAGTTCGTAACCTTGCTAAACTTGATGTGTCCATTGTTTTGACTATTTTAACACAGCATCCATGGCATTGGCATTCAATGTAACAGTAATCCTCTTCCATCCTCTTATTGATCAGTGAAATTTATATCACCTCCACATAGCCATAGGATTAGTTATAGGCGAACTTTGTTTATCATGTTTATGTTTTCAGAGACAGAAACTAATACTTTTCGTCTACTAATCATATAATAAAATATGGCACAACCCTTAATAATGACAAATTTCTACTAATCCTTGTGACACCTTACTATTTTGCAGTTTGGTAAGGACTCTGTGATTTCATCACTGGAATTAAAGCAATGCCATTTATTATTATTAGTAGTAGCTGGTTTAATGCAAACACATTTATTATTATATGTAGTAGTAGCTAGCAGTAGTAGTAGTAGTAGTATATAATATAAGGTGTATCAAGGTGAAATCTCTATATATTCATGCATGACTCACCTGACAAGATATTTGAGCTAACAAGAGTACTGCATTTTAGCTGTCCATAGATTCATGTGAATAAAACGAATTGCAGTGTTTGGATCCCTGCCTTATTCTGATTTTTGACTAAGTTATGACCTTGATTACCTTTGACTTTCATTTTGACCCTGTTATCTTATTTAAAGTGATCTTTCTTTATCAGATCTCCTTTTACTAAAACCACAAGGCTTTTATGATACTGAAATTATAAGTGGTGGGACGATACACTGATGCCATCTTCCCTAGTCAAGAGAGTTAACTGACTATAAAAGTCCAGTTTCCATCCTTGCCGAACTTGGCTGGTATTATGGAGTTACATTTTGGCTAGGTTAACGAGTCTATGCATAGTCCAATCAAAATCGCGCACCGGAATCGAAATCCGGTTCGTAAAGTGTCTTGTAGATTTCGGTCGACTGCAGGATTTGCAAAGCATGTGCACCACTAGCTTGTTGTCAACAGATATTTTCCAAATCTTTTCATGTTTTTAATCAAGGTGCTCACGTGATTTGATGCACTTCGCAATGAAAGACTCGTTTTATCACAATATAGATCTTGATCATCGATCAGATCGTCTTGACAGGGCGCCACCGTTTTGTTTGAAACAAATGCAAGTGATGCGAGAGGTGGAATCTGATTGGTCTACAGGAGAGGCATAGAAGGGACATAGCTCGTAATAGCCACTGGTGGCGCTACGATCGAGCCCAGGAATTCCAGCCTAGATCGGCAAGGGGGGAAACTGGACTTTTAAAGTTAGTTAACTCCCTTGCCTCGGGAAGATGCACTGATGCATCGGTGGATCACGATTTTATACTTCTCGATACAAGTATCGATTACAGTCGCACACAAAGTAAAAAATATCCATTCTGGTCTTGAATGTTTGCTTTCACTGAACACTAATCAGTAGTGCAAGTTATTAGTGAAGACATAAATATTTTCATTTGTTGTGCCATACTTCACACTGCCAACTGTAAATCATCAGTGTGCCATGTATTTGGCCATCCTCTCTATGAAAAAGATGGCTTATGCACCACAGATAAGAGCACATGCAAGTATCGTGAAATATATCAGATCATGAGTAAGGTATCAGGATACGTATCGGATCTCACAGTTGGTGTATCGTCCCAGCCCTAGAAATTATGTGTATGACAATGTTCTGGTGTCTGAAGGTGGCTGAGCTCACAGAATTCCAATGCCATTTAAAACATGGCTACCGCGGTAGCAATATTGAAAATGTCATTTTTGCTCATTCTGCATACAATTATGAAAAAGTTTTAGTTTCATTGTAAATTAGTTCACTACCACTCAACCCCCTTTATAAATTTTCTAATACAAGAAGCAATTGACCTTCAGAGCCTTGTGATTCTATTTTGTGTTGCAATTCCAACTGTTTTTCAATACAGGGACAACAAATTTATATAAGAAGCAAACATGGTTGGGAGACTGCTGTACTGAAAGATGTGACAAGTGACAACAGAAGCCATGGTAACAAGGCTTTTGTTGCAGAGACCACATCAGGGGAGGTAAGATATCAATGAGATACATCTTATGATGCCACTGTATTGGCTTACATTTATGTGATTAGACTTTCATTATCTATAGTACATTCTTTAATGCTGGCATCATTGCCAAATTTGTATTTTTGCTTTAGGTGACCCTTTTTTTATTTCTTGGTTTACGGATGCGCCGCTCGTTCAAAGTCCAAATGTTCAAAAAAAAATAAAAATGAAAATTACCCCTTTTTTTTATTACCGCCGATCTTTTTGTCAAAAAGTTCAAACAAAAATAGATTTCATATCCTCGTTGAGCGTAAAGCACTCTGATATTTCTCACTGGGATCCTTCTCTAATACCATCAAAGCTTGTCAATGCAAAGCGCAGTGGTGACCACTTTAACTCATTCAACACTGCTGGCCGGTCAAGAAGACACGAGTCACACCGCAGGGTAGACCGACCAAGTCACAACGGGTCCTCATCGAACATGTCAAACAGCAAAATAAAGACATTTCAAGCAAATCTTTGAATATATTATACAAAGTAATAAAATCAACAAAGATGTATCTAAAAGTTGCCAAACTGACATCTAAGGCTACTACTTATATTAATAGAATAGCAGAACCATACACTTAACCTATGGTAGTATTGTGAGGGCTAACCCTATTGAGGTCTATATTACTAGCGGGAGACATAATAAAAATAATTCCTTTTGTGTTTATTTTTATCCCCCGCCCAACAAAGTTGGCGTGATATAGAAACGGGCTCCACCCATCCATCTGTACGTACGTACGTCTGTCACGTTTCATTTCCAGAGCATAACTCAGAAACCGTTCAATGTCTTTTCATGAAACTTTGCAGGTCTGTCAAGTACATGCTGAACTGGTGCCTTTTGCTATTTAGAAATTTTAGAAATTTTTATTTTTTCCGTTTCCATGGCAACAAGATGGACTTAGGTTCTGTGAGGGTAGGGTTCGTTTCCGGATCATAACTCATAAACCGTTCAATATTTTTTCATGAAAATTTGCAGGTTTGTCAGGTACATGCTGAACTGGTGCCTTTTGCTATTTAGAAATTTTAGAAATTTATATTTTTTATGTTTCCATGCCAACAAGATTGACTAAGGTTCCAAACTCTTCTTTTTTTACAATTTCCATTGTTCCACCTCCGTTAATAAAGGTTAGGGTTTGTTAAATTTAATTATGTCATAAATTCTTCAACAGGGTCGGGGGATATAGCCACGTCAGTGGCAAACTCTTGTTTTTCTTCTCTCGCTGCTTTCCAGTTCGGGCACCTGGCCCGTGAACTGAAAAATATAAAATGTGTGGCCTTAGTTTGTTAAGCTGTAATACTGTACATATGTTTGTCATGCAGGAGTTGGTGTGCAGACAGGAGGATGTCCTCCACTGTTCCAATGTCCCCCTGTGTAGCACTGAGCGCTTGTCAGACCTTGCTCCACTCAACGAAGCCACAGGTACATCAAGTGATTTTCTCAGGGAACTCAGGGAAACATATGCGAAAACAAACACAAGCAGGCAGTTCCAAATGGAAAATATAATAAAGGCAACACTTGTATTATAGCGTTGTGGATATTTTCTACACCCTGTCATTTCTGAGCATTGTGACATGTACACCCAAAAGGGAGTATGAAAGGAATATATTTGGGGTCTGTGAAGGCTTTCTTGTAAGATCAAAGTTTCGGAATCAAGGCAGAAATGAAATGAACCGGGATCAATTTAGAAAGCTGACATCTGACTGGCTGAAGATGTCATGCATCTGGAGCTTGGAGATAACTCAGATACTCGTGTCAGGTGTGTCCTGAGTAGACTCTGGTACCCACATGACTACCCGGACCCGAAGTTAATCATGTGATATATGGTTAAATGACAATTACAATATAATTCCATGGTTACACTAGTACAAGTTGCTAATGTTCGCATTTCTTTCCGACTATGGGCACATTCCTTCTGACTTTTATATGTTTGAGTAAAGACAAAGCTTCAGTCAACTACAGTGTATACACAATCAGATCGTTTAATACTATATCTAAGACCCGCGAAGATCCAGGGTAGAATAGGTCCTCAACAACCCATGCTTGCTGTAAATGGCGACTATGCTTGTCATAAGAGGCGACTAACGGGATCGGGTGGTCAGGCTCGCTGACTTGGTGGATGCATGTCATTGATCTCAATTGCGTGGATCAATGCTCATGACATCAATCACTGGATTGGCTGGTCCAGACTCGATTATTTACAGACCGCCATCATATAGCTGGAATATTGCTGGTCGCGGCGTTAAACAACAAACCAACCAACTACTATATCTAAACACTCTTTGCCATGGCTCAATTCCCATCTGAGCATTTTGTGCCCAACTTATGACCTCAACAGGTACCCGGGCAGGGTAATAGGGAGGTGGGTACCCAGGTAGTACATTTTGTCTCGTACCAGCCCTACATGCATCCCTCATTTAGATTAGGTGATGCAGTGTTTAGTGTTTAGTGCCTGAAGCACCTGTAAAATGTCTTGATGAGTGTGTGTCATGTCTCCAGTCCTGCATTGTCTGTGGGAGAGGTTCGAGCTGGACTGTATCTACACCAAGGCTGGTTCTACAGTGGTGGCTGTCAATCCATTCAAGGACATCTCCGATCTCTACTCACTAGACACCGTGGAGGCTTACTGCACAAGACAGCCAGGCAACAAGGTAGGTACTTACAACCTGTAGATATTACCCACAGGGCAAGGATTTTATTAAAGCTGATATCACGATACAGACTGATGATACTACAGGTATCATGATAGACATCAGATTGTAAGAAATGATCAAATCACTGAAATACAGCTTTAAAACCTCTTTCTTAATAGGGGGCACGGGTGGCCCAGTCGTCTATGGCGCCGCGATTCGCTGTGCAGAGTTGCGTCCCTTGGTCACGCCAGAAACCTATGATTGTGGGTTCGAATCCCGGTTCGCCCCGATTATGTTTCTAGGTTTGTCAGCACCAATCGTGCTCGTGGGTTTCACCGAAGTGGTAAACATCTGAGACCTGCATCATTTCGGGCATTCCTCCCACATTAAGCTGACACGCCGCAATATAACTGGAATACTGTTAAAAGCAGCGTTAAACCCAACTCACTCACTCACTCACTCTTTCTTAATACATTTATTTAACAATGAAAACCACAAGAAAAAAATCAGTTTTAAATGAAGGGATGTTTTTTAAATGTAACAGTTAGTCAGTGTGTCCTCAGTCACCATGTCCCCATGTTCTGCCATATTAACAGGAGGTGCTATGCTTAGCAGCTACTTCAGCCATTACAGGAGGTAACTCTATTAGTTCCTGTTCTATTTATAGCATATCATGATCTTACACACTGCCGATTCAAATATCATGTGCACCTGAGTAGTGATGATAGCATAGGTATCGTTGAATCGTTATAGCCCTTGATTTTATTGCCATTATTTTCAGCAATTCTTATAGAGTATTGTAGTGTATTCCTCGTGCTGATTGGCTAGTTCATGCCAATTGTTTCAGCCTTGTGACTGAATACATTGAGTCGCCTCTATGACCGGCATAGGTTGCTGGGAACCTTCTCTAACAGGTGACCCAAAGTAATTCCTTATAGAACCCAAGAGGATTATAGAGATAAGGTTTATGAAGTTTTAAACTTGTGTGATATATTTCTTGACAATAAAATATGTTAATACTAAAATAATAAAATACCTAAAATGAAGCCTGGTGTTGAATTGAAGAACACAAATAGTATCCATGCTTTTGTTAGATGTGGAAAGTTTTTTGCAATGCATGGAGTTTGTATTGCATGTAAGGAGCTTGTGTAGTCACATGACCTAATATGGCGACGTCCATGAATTTGCGAGCTGTCATTCATTATAGTATAAGTGTTCAGGAGGGTTTTGTCAATAAAACACATCCTACTTCGCAGAAACTCACATGTCCCAATCATGTTAAGGAGGGTTTGAGTACCCAACACACGTGCACCCTGCTTCACAGAAAGCACGTGTTTTCCATGAAGACCTTGTAAATGAATGGGACATGGGAATTTTTGATAGTTAATTAGACATTTCAGTTTTGACAGTAGTGAAAGACGTCTCTCACACAAGAGTACAACTAACATTATAGTGCCATTACAGGGCAGTATTCAGAATATTAGACATATGAAGTTGCCATAGCAGGGTGATATTATGTTGTACAATACCGGGGGCGGTCGGGTAGCCTAGTGGTTAAAGCGATTGCTCGTCATGCCGAAGACCCGAGTTCGATTCCTGACATGGGTACAATGTGTGAAGCCCATTTCTGGTGTCCCCCGCCGTGATATTGCTGGAATATTGCTAAAAGCGGCGTAAAACCATACTCACTAATTCACTCATTGTACAATACCTGAATGTTTGCAAGCATTGTTTGTAGTTCACTGTGCTACCTGCACATGTCAAATGTGTGATGGAACAGTAGTGCATATTATAAATAGTTTTGGGTTGATAAACGGGCTGAATTGTCATTGTTGTTTTTTGTTCATTATTATAAATATTCCTTAATATCAGTAAGTATTGTGAACTTGGTAGGTTCTAGGTACTAGTAGCTATGGTGAGGTAGTTGATGTAAGTGGTGATAGTGGAGGCGGCAGTTGTATTATGGCGATGTTTCAGTGAAGACCATTTTAATTGATACAAAGTGTTTGTTGAAGTTTGAGTTGATCTGAATAGTCAACAAGTAATCACCATGCCAGGCGGAGGTACATATACTACAAAACATTATATTGTGCATTTCATAAACCAGTACTACTATGACAGTAAGCTGTCATTCAACACAAGACACCATTTGTCAAGACAATATTGTCAGTTATAGGAACTTCTTTGATAACGGTGTTAGAACCTACACCGAAGCGTCGCTCTTAGTTGTATTAAAGAAGTTGTTCATCCATAAATTCCAATCCCTACTTATCCTTACATGTTATAGGAACATCAACATTGCTTGTCACGTGTAGTTTGCTTATGAAGGACCAACATGGAGAAAGAGAAATGCTTAGTTTAGCATTGTAGCATTGAGTAAACTACCTCTGAGTCCCAGATACAACATCCTCCCCACGGCAAGGGAGTTAACTGACTATAAAAGTCCAGTTTCCACCCTTGCTGAACTAGGCTGGAATTCCTGGGCTCGACCGTATCGCCACCAGTGGTTATTACGAGTTATGTTCCTTCTAAGCCTCTCCTATGGACCAATCAGATTTCACCTCTCGTATCACCTGCATTTGTTTCAAACAAAATGGTGGCGCCCAGTCAAAACGATCTGATATAGCGAAGTGCATCAAATCACGTAAGCACCTTGATTAAAAACATGAAAAGACTTGGACAATATCTGTTGACAGCGAGTTGGCGGTGCACATGCTTTGCAAATTCTGCAATCGACCGAAATCTGCAAGACATTTTACAAACCGGATTTCGATTTCGGTGCACGATTTTGATTGGACTATGCATAGACTAGTTAGCCCAGCCAAAATGTTACTCCATAATACCAGCCTAGTTCGGCAAGGGTGGAAACTGGACTTTTATAGTCAGTTAACTCACTTGCCTCGGGAAGATGCAGATACAATTGCCTGGAGATCAGTTGAAGGATGTTTGATGCTGTTGCAGGAATCAAAGGCCCCCCACATCTATGAGATAGCGGAGGAGGCTCACGGTCGGTTGCAGCGAGACTCTCACCCCCAGGGGCAGTGCATCATCGTCAGTGGAGAGAGTGGGGCAGGCAAGGTAAGTTGACAGTCATGTACACTCATGTCAACTAGCAGATATTTCAAATTTAAATATGTGTCATTGTTATGCTTTTAATATTACAGGGTTTTACCTATACTCTCAAAAGTGGGGGTCAAGGGGATCCGCAATAATTAATTTGAAGGGTCCTTTCAGGCAGTATGAGGGTCCTGCGTCGAGGCATCGAAATTCTCTTTATGAGTAAATGAAGCCTACAGACCAGCATATTTGACTTCTGTATCTAGATAGCAAACTTAAGTGGACAGTTCCGAATATAAATACATTTGTAAACTTATCTTATCTCACGCTATGCTTTTCTTCCTTCTTCTTTAGAATGTTATGTGGAAATGTGCCTGAACAAAGTTTCCAGCTTTTAAAAACAATTCACCCGAACACATCCCAGCATCACCATGGTCACTACCCAAACAAATGGGTCACGCACTGTCATCCCGTTGGCCAGACGTTTCGGCAGAGTCCTGATCCCTTACCTGCTCACCTCTGCTTTAGGCATGTGCTGTCTTGGTACTGATTGGATGATCCTCTTGTGGATGTAGTTGATTGTTCCTTTTCTCGTCTCAGCATGCTTCAATCCCTCGGGCGTGATTGATAGCTTTGACAAAGTTTTAAAAGGGATGCCAAGCTGACCCACCTTTTTGTCCACTGGAGATAGTGGTGTTGACTGTCTTGTAGAACTGATTGCCTAGAGACCTCTTCCGGATCAGTTAAGACCGCCTCCGTGGTTTAGTGGTAGAGCGTCCGCCCGGAGAGCGGAAGGTCCAGGGTTCGATCCCTGGCCGCGTCATACCAAAAGACGTTATAAGATGGTACTTGTTGTTACCCTGTCTGGCGCTCGGCATTAAGGGGCTAAAACAAGGACTGGTCGGTTCGGAGTCAGTATACTGTGTCTGAGTGGGGTATTCATGTTAAACTGCGGCATGGTATCTCAGTGATCTAGCACGATAAATCGGCATGAGTCCGGACTAGTACAAGCAGCCACACAAACACACACACTTACATGAACGTCGCTATATAAGCGCAATAATCTTGGACGCGACGTTAAACCCCATTTCACCTCAACTCACCTCACTTCCGGATCAGTTATAAGTCAAACACTGAATCGATTTTGATTCCAGATGCCAGTACACAGTCTTTCATCTAACGATGTCCAAACTATGTAACACATGTTATACCCGATTCATGTTGTTATGTCTAATTAACGTAAGGGGGTCATATCGTCTGTTATGGTGTTTTTTACCCACTCACGAGTTTGTATCTTACGCCACTAGGCAGTGTTATAGATTCTTATACAGTAGAACACGGATATAATGAACTTAGATATAGCACACAGACGGATACAACGAACTGTTAAAAAATCCCCGATTTATCTCCTATATAATTTCATATACAATTTACGTATATAACGAGGCCCATCTATCACTAAATAGTGACATGTATAGCGAACTGAGAAATCTCACTCAGTGTCAAGTGTCACTGACAATTGGCTGTACGCAATCAGCCGTGAATCAACACAACAAATCATCACATATGATAAATATGATTACATTTTGTACATGTATTTGATAACAATCTTCAGAAAATGTTATGAATTTAATGTTATTAAATGAATGTTATAAATTGTTATCAATTGAATGATCACTGCAAATACAAATCAATGCTCCAGTTACGTGTATTGTGTTTTGTCTTATCCAAGATGGCGGACATTTCCGAGCGAAAACGTGCATAACGAACAACGGATATAACGAACTGATTTCTCTGGTCCCTTGTAGTTCGTTATATCCATGTTCTACTGTATTTGTATCACTGTTTAATGTCAGCTTCGACCCGTGAAGATTCCGGGGTAGAATAGGTCTTCAGCAACCCATGCTTGCCGTAAAAGGCGACTATGCTTGTCGTAAAAGGCGACTAACGGGATCGGGTGGTCAGGCTTGCTGACTTGGTTGATACATGTCATCGGTCCCAAATGCGTGGATCGATGCTCATGATATTAATCACTGTATTGTCTGGTCCAGACTCGATTATTTACAGACCTCTGTCATATAGCTGGAATATTGCTGAGTGCGGCGTTAAACAACAAACCAACCAACCAACTAATGTCAGCTTCCTTGTGTATGTCTCACGGTCTTAGACTCTACAGGCTAGAGTATCTATGCCCCACAATCCATAAGTTTGAGATAGGATAAATTTTACATTAAGTTAAATATCTATATACTTATCCTATTTTATATGCTATATGTCTACCAGACCATCCCCGCATCACTGCTCCTCTAGCCTGTTAGCTCTAAGAAAGAGAATGATGTGGCAGAGAGTGAGTGAGTGAGTGAGTGAGTGAGTGAGTATGGTTTTACGCCGCTTTTAGCAATATTCCAGCAATATCACGGCGGGGGACACCAGAAATGGGCTTCACACATTGTACCCATGTCAGGAATCGAACCCGGGTCTTCTTTAACCACTAGGCTACCCAACCGCCCCGATGTGGCAGAGAAGGCTAGTGATTAGGTCGTGTGAGCTCACAACATACAGTGCGAGACCCATTTGTTTGGGTGGTGACCATGGTGATGCTGGGATGTGTTCGGGTGAATTGTTTTAGAATCTGCGTTCTCTAATGTGTTTTTATTTTGGTTGAAATAATAATGTTCAATTCGAGAAATAAAAAAAGCCAAATCATTTTGAAAAGCTGACATCTGATTGGTTCACATACCCATGTATCCTTCACCGTCATTGGTGGTTGAGGTTGGCGCAGGGTTGTCAGATGTTTGAAACTAAGCAGGGAATTCAGTCCTGTCTTAACCCTGATCTTAAAAGTGAATAAAATGTTAAATTTTTGTGGGGTACTTAACTTCAGATACCAGAGGAGGACAACCTAATGACCCCATTAATTTTGAACACTGAAAATGAAAGTAAAGCATTGTTAAAAAATATATTCTTATATATTCTGTTTGTATAATATACATAAGCATTATTTCTGTGTCTGCTGACTTTCAGACTGTGTCAGCCAAGCACCTTCTGAGGTATCTGACAGTGGTGGCCAACCCTCACACAGATCTCTCCCAAGACAGGTTTGTTTGTTTCTTTGTGTGTGTCAATCAGCAATATTCCAGCTCTATGACAGCAGCCTGTAAATAATCAAGTCATGATTGGACAGTCTTGTGATTGATATTATGAGCACCAATAATTTCATCTTCAAGGGCTTATCAGGACAGGTAGGGACAGGGAAAGTTCTACTCATCATTGACAGCAAACAATTTCTTTCTTTCTTTATCCCTATTGTTGGTTTCAAAAACATTATTTCAGGTCGGTTAAGATGGTCGACCCTTTCATTGTACAGTCTCAGGGATGATGACTAGGTTTGGCATTTGCCTTTATCCACTTGCACAAAGCCTAGTGTGAAGATGGTGTGGTTGATTGTCACCTGCAACTATGCTTACACTTAGCATGCTTAAGGAGGAAGACTAGGGTGATTGGCCTGGATTTCAAAGCAGCATCTCAGTGATGTTTCATAGTCGACTCCAAGATCACATCCATTATCTGTTCACCTCAATACAAGGGGGCACGGGTGGCCCAGTGGTCTAAGGCGCTGCGATTTGCTGTGCAGAGTTGCGTCCCTTGGCCACGCCAGAAACCTATGATTGTGGGTTCGAATCCTTGTTCGCCCCGATTATGTTTCTAGGTTTGTCAGCACCATACCCGTGCTCGTGGGTTTCACCGAAGTAGTAAACGTCTTGAGACCTGCATCACTTCGTGCTTTCCTCCCACATTAAGCTGACACGCTGTGATATAACTGGAATACTGTTTAAAGCAGCGTTAAACCCAACTCACTCACTCACTCACTCACCTCAATACATCATGTCTCAGACTTACATGTCAAGTGAATATTGACATTTATATTTGGGTTGTATGTGGTACATTTCTTTTGTTTCAGAAAACTTTCTGAATGTACAGGAAAGGGCAAGGCCATTGAGAGACGAATCCTAGATTCCAATCCCATCCTAGAGGCTTTTGGTAATCACTTGTCATAATTCATAGTTAGAATGAGATGTGTTTAAGTAGAACTACATTTTTTTGTAATTATTCAAATTAGATGATTCTAAAACATTAGTGTATATTGTTCATCCTAATCATCATGCTATGAAAACAAGCCCCCAAATTGAGAAAACTCTGAACGTCTGCTAAATTCCACTCAGTATGTTCCGAGATTTTCTAGAAGTGTCTGTGATTCAGCTGTGTGACATGTGAACACATGAAATAATGATCATCTGTACGGATAACAAATGACACGACTTTCTGTGTTGGACCAGATGTTGATTGTGACAGCAAGACTGTTTTATATGTTTTAATGTGCTCTGTTTGTCATGAAAAGTAATTTTGAAAAATAGAACTTGTGGTGAAATTCAAACAGAGATGAAATGTCACAAATGTGGTCAAATTGAAAAAGTACATGTCTTCCTGAATGGTATCATTCCATAAAACAAAAGTGGCAAATGAGGTACAAAATCATTCGTGCAACATCGGTGGGGGTTGGTTACTAATGGCTCTCATAACAGAAACAAGCTAGGGCAAACATGGTAGCTATGGCTATAAAAGGGACCCTCAAGTGACAAGCTGGTATCCATAACATAGATGTGACATTTATGCGAAGATTATCAGGAAATGAAAGACAATAAGCGATTGGAAGATTAAATGCTGGTCAGAGTGGGAAGTCATGGCCACGTCAGAATGATCTATCATTTGCAACATAGTCATGAACCACTGACGACTGTATGGGTTTGATTGTGTAATGGAACGGAACCCATATGACCGTCCAAGCATCACAGGATAACAGCTCGAGTCACCAGAGACCTCCCACAGAAGCACTCCATCATCACCATGCCTTGGCCCACCCTCAGTCCTGATTTGAACTCTATTGAACACTTGGTGGACAAGATCCCACAAGATCCGCCCAAAGCCGATAACTGCGACAGATCATTCATTTCCACACATAACTTATGTCCAGTACTTTTTGTCATAGGTAATGCTGTTACACCAAGAAATAACAACAGCTCAAGATTTGGTAAATTCATTCAGCTGCAGTTTCAGAGGTGAGCACATTCTTAATACTGGTCTTTATAGCACCTTGCTCATTTTCCTCAACATCTCCAATAGTGTAGACTTTTAGGGTAACATGTTTTAGGAATGGCCAAGTGCAGGAGAGTGCAAGATAGAGTAGCCTCCCTTGAAGCAAGGTTAACATCTCCAATAGTGTAGACTTGGGTTAACATGCTTTAGGAATGGCCAAGTGCAGGGAGAGTGCAGATAGAGTAGCCTCCCTTGAAACAAGGTTAACATCTCCAATGGTGTAGACTTGGGTTAACATGTTTTAGGAATGGCCATGTGCAGGGAGAGTGCAGAAAGAGTAATCTCCCTTGAAGCAAGGTTAACATATCCAATAATGTAGACTTGGGGTAACATGTTTCAGGAGCGGCCATGTGAAGGGAGCAAAGATAGAGACTTACCTCCTGGAGAAGACCAGAGTTGTACACCAGGGGGCGGGAGACTGTAACTTTCACATCTTCTATCAGGTCAGCTTCCTTCGTCATCTTACACACCCCACATGTTACACAGGTGTGAGCAATGGTCACTGAATTCAATCAATAACGTACATTAGAAACTTTCATCATGGAAGTATGAGGTCAGTATGATCCAATTATCATTCAGAGATGCTCACAATAAAGTTTATGTGTCTCGCTCTCAAAAACCCCATCCCCTTTATAAGTGAAAAAAACAGCACCAGTCCACCCCCATTTATAACAATAATACTCGTTTTATTACTGTTCAGAGCAGGTGTATTGATGAACCAGTTTTTCAGTCTACACTATATGAGTCTTATATGTACATGTTTGTTGTTGTCAATGGGTTAAAATTGTGTTTCCTATAGCCAATATTTCCTGGTATCTGACTTACTTTGTGCGGACTCCATCAAGACTAATGTATAGTGGATAATCATTCCTTAGCAAATGGGCTGCCAATCTCATTAAAATCAGATCTAAGTTCTCGCTACTGCTAAACAAAGATCTGAGGACATCCCATTACGGGTCACGTCAGACCGACCTTGCGCAAACTTTGACTGACCAATGGAATGACCAATCATAAGGCAGCTTTCTCGTGCTTTACGGCACTAATTTCAAATTGGGGACTACGCTTCGAAACATATTTTGACAAATTCTCTATTACAAATTTGTAACCTAAACAAAAGAACATTCTGGAATGGCGGATAGATAGTCTAGATTGTATGGATTCAGTCGTTAAACCCATAACTATCGTTCGGAGTTAAAGTTTTCGAGGTTGCATGATTTTTGTTTAGCGGTAGCGAGAACTGAGGTCTGATTTTAATGAGATTGATGGGCTGATGTTGTACTACAAGTGGAAGGGTTTCTTTATGTGTTGCTGTCTGATGTTTACACAGCTGTGTGGAGCTTCAAGCAGTGTCCCTGACACAGAACAGCCAGGATGGGTGTGTCAGCTGAGAACACTGCTACAGGGCCACAGCTTCAACATAGTGCCAGGGAAGGAAGGTGATACCTCACATCAAGTATTACACATACAGCAGTGTGTGTTTACCAGTATCAAGGAAATGAATATCAAGTATCAGTATCAAGGAACTAATGGGGGCACGGTTGGGCCAGTCGTTTAGGGCGCCATTATTTGCTGTGCAGAGTTGCGCCCCTTAGGCACACCAGGAAGCAATGGTCGTGGGTTCAAATCCTGGTTTGCACTAATTATATTTCAAGTTTTGTCAGCACCATATGTGTGTCTTTGGTTTCACCGAAGTGGTAAACGTCAAAGACCTGCATCACTCCTGGCTTTTTTCAACATCAAGCTGACACTGTGATATAACTGGAATACTGTTCAAAGCGGCATTAATCTTAACTCGCTCACTCACTCCAACTTGGGGGCACAGGTGGCCCAGTTGTCTAAGGCGCCGCAATTCGCTGTGCAGAGTTCCGTCCCCTAGACACGCCAGAAACCTATGATTGTGGGTTCGAATCCGGGTTCGCCCCGATTATGTTTCTAGGTTTGTCAGCACCATACCCGTGCTCATGGGTTTCACCGAAGTGGTAAACGTCCGAGACCTGCATCACTTCGGACTTTCCTCCCACATAGAGCTGACACGCCCTGATATAACTGGAATACTGTTAAAAGCGGCGTTAAGCCCAACTCACTCACTCTCACTCACACTCCAACTGAAAATAACTCAATTCTAATCATGCCAATCTAGATTTGTGAGTACATGCTGTGTGCATGTACCAATGTCACACTGAAAAACCTTCACATTTTTATCTGTTTTGTTATCGTGGAAACTGAACTCATATTTGTTTACCATACACATTTGATGTCCAAGAATCACATTTCAAACACATCACATACCTAAATTTCTTTCAGGAGTAACAGAGAGAAAATCCTTGCGAACCACTCTTGAGGCCATGTCTGACATCGGCCTGTCTGACCACCTTCAGCAAGCTGTGCTACAGGTATGTCGAACAATAATATACTGAACGAAAAAATTAGGGATCATGAATATTGTGGAGAAATTTTTATGAAATTGTCTTCACAACAAATAAATACCCCCCCAAAAATTCATGATCCCTAACTTTTTTGGTTCAGTATATGTCTGGCATACATGCTGTGTTGTCTGACAATATACACTAAGCTGTGTTAAATGTAAGTGTATTATAAATCTGTCTCACATACATGTAATATTTCCTAAAATTCTGTCTCGCATATAGCCATGGCTCACCATCAGCAGAAAATCTTGAATGTCAACATACAAATGTTTTGTCACATATTTTGGTATCTCAGCTACTATTTTCCATCACTTATTGTTTACGAGGTGGATACAATCACCAAGAATATATCACTGCTTTGTACCCTACTGTAATGTGTCTCGGTGTCTATGCAGGTAATCGCGGCCATTTTGTTCCTGTGTAATGTGGACTTCACAGCAGAGGATGAGGACTACAGTCGACTCAGCTCACAGTCAGGTAACCCACATCGTGGTGGCACATGGCCCTGTGTACAGTGCACAGGTCACAAATCAGGTGACCGCCTTTGTGGTCTAGTGGTAGAGCGTCCGCCCGGAGAACGGAAGGTCCGGGGTTCGATCCCCGGCCTTTAAGACGTTAAGAGATGGTACTTGTTGTTACCCTGTCTGGCGCTCAGCATTAAGGGGCTAAAACAAGGACTGTTCAGCTCGGAGTCAGTATACTGTGTCTAAGTGAGGTATTCATGTTAAACTGCGGCATGGTATCTCAGTGAGCTAGCACTATAAATCGGCATGAGTCCGGACTAGAACAAGCAGCCACACAAACACACACACGCTATAATTCTTGGACGTGACGTTAAACCCCACTTCACCTCACCTCACCTCACCTCACCTCACCTCACCTCACCTCACCTCACCTCGCTTTCTGAAGGATGTCAGTAAAACGTACACGATTTAAAAACAGTTCCCCTTATTTATAATAATGACGACTCCCTGAATACAAACCCACCTCGGCCAAGTTGGACAAGTCCATTTTATGAACGGGGGGGGGGGGGGGCTAAAATTTGGTATTTCAAGGATATTCTCACAAATTTTCAAGGGGATTATATGTACCTTTTCCCCTAATACAGATTGCCATATCTCACCGACTTTCAGATGCAATCATTCGGACATGGCATTTTTCTGTGTTGCTCAGCTTCATCTATGGGGCACTAACAGCTGACTGGACATGTCCCTCTAAAAAAAAATGTCTTCCAACCTACGACGACATCAAATTGCGAGCACATGTTTGAATCTCCAAAAATGACGATAGAACAATGTTTCATCGTGAAATATACTGTGCTTCATTCTTCATTACTCTTTGCGATTTATCGCGTAGCTATCATATCTATAATGTTATCCCAGGAAGTGTGACAATCGTAGCTAAACATTTTGCACTGTTTTACTTTTAGGATGAATTAACCGATGTTACGGACCAACCATTTGATGTTCGGTATTATTTTTTCATTATTATTTTTTGTGGTAACCAATGTATTTTTCAGTCTACAGCATACCGGTTGTTACTTTTTTCAAACGGGACAATTTTGTTGTTGTTGATAACATCCCAGTGCCCAATACCCAAGCCCACCTACCTTCTCCAGGACCTACCCTCCCAGAATGGTCTGTCCCTTACTTAAGTGGATTTATCTGGACCTGCTTAGAAGATGATATTAAGTCCCAGATCTGCAGCAATTGCCAGTACAAATTTCCCAATTCTTGTTGTAGTTATAACCAATATTTGGCTGTACAGAGATGACTTGTTTCACTGTTAACCACGACTTGCACATGAGGGGCAGTGATGACATTGGTCTATCAATATCACTTGCATGATACATCAATAAATAAATTGCAAGTGATTCCATGGCATTTGATTGGCTAATCCATAAATTTTTGGCATTTATTCTCGATAAACATTACAGATATTAATCCATTGGTGGACAACTGTTTCCTGATTGGCTGATAATAGAGTCGGAAGGGCTTGTGGTGCATTATTGCACAGAACAATGTCACTGAATTTGTGTCGTCGTCTCTTGTTGTGTATTAATGATTTAATTAGCAGTTTGTGAAGTTATCATTGATTTTGATATTTTTTGTATGGTGGTATATGATTTACGCATTCATTTTTCCATTTATTCCTCCAGTAGCGCAAAAAAGGTTTTGAAGTCAATTCTTAATTAAATCAATGATCATGATTTCAAAGGACTTGCAGTTTGTGAATGTAAACAAATGGTATTGTGTGGTTACCATGGTTACAGCTCAGATGTCCTTCCTGGAGCGATCGTGTCTGGAGCTGTCAGGTAGTGGTTATGTTGTTGCCGTTGACGCCTTCCAGAGCAGATTGATTTGTTTGTTGCTGTTTGTTAGCTCGTCTGTTCAAAGATTGACTGAGCTGTTCTGATGGACTGGTGTACAGTCTTCCCTCCCAGGGGGATTTTGGTTTAGCATTAGTCACTAGCAGCCTGTGCTGGGCATACTTGGTAACTTGATGGAGCGAGCGGGTGGTTAGGCTTTGTGAGCTGGTTGACCATATGTCATTGTACCCCAATGGTGTAGATCGTTGCTCACAAAATCAATCACTAGATTGTCTGGTCCAAACTTATAGCTGGAAGATTGATGAGTGTGGCTTTAAACATCAAAATCATTTATAGGGAGCTGCACAGAGCTACAGTCACTGGTTGTGTTTTTTGTGTTTGTTTGTTTGTTTGTTTATTTGTTGTTTAAGCCGTACTCAGCAATATTCAAGCTTTTTGACAGCGATCTGTAAATAATCAAGTCTGGACCAGGCAATCCAGTGATTGACATCATGAGTATCGAGGCACACATTTGGTATAGGATGACATGCATCAACCAAGTTGGTGACCACCCTATCCTGATAGTCGCATCTTACAACAAGCATAATCGCTTTTTAGCAAGCATAGGTTGCTGAAGACCTGTTCTGCCCCGGATCTTCACAGATCACTGCAGCTACTGACAAACAAACCCTGAAGCTTTTTGAAACTTACAGTATGAATTTATCTCATTGTTTAAATTATTTCATATTTGGTTTCTAATATGGATACCTTTTTTATCTTTACTTGGATATCTGTACATGTATTTATGTAAATGTATTGTAGATAAGACCCAGGTTAGAATTGATCTTCAGCAACTCATTGTTGACATAAGAGGCGACTAACAGGATCAAGTCAGGATCACTGATTTGGTTGAGGGATGTCATCATATCCCAATTTCTTAGATCACTGCTCATGATGTCAATCCAGGTGTTCTATCCATTCCACGTCCCAAATAATAACAAGTTGTCCTTGATCTTCTCTCAGTTGTCACCACCCGGTTAGACGGATGGTAGGTTTAGGGCACTGACTTATTGAAGTCATCATGAACTATTGGGCATCGACATTCAAATATTACCCACTAAGGCAGGGATGCAGGTGTAACTGTTTTTGTAATTATCATTGAGCATTATAGTTTTTATTTCATGCTGATTGGTTAGTTTTTTCCAGTCCTTCCATATTCAAGAGATATTAATTGTTTTGATGGACAAACGTACATATTGGTATTTTGTGTGAACCAATGCACATAAACGCATCACGTGACGTCATAGATCCATGACTCAAGATGCACCATTTGTCTCATACAGGATTAGTGTGACACTCTAAAACAAAGACACTCTGTGGTAACACTTGACTGATTATTAGTTTTGTCATTAAGTGGTACTGATTGGAAACATCTCTTCTTAACGTACATACTTCTCTATATGTTTCTGTGGTTCGTGTTTCTTTTGGTGGTGAGTGTATACATTAAGAATAGACTACGGGCAGCAGAGAACTGACAAACTTTAATCCCTCAGGACAAAAAATCAGCTTTTAATTATTCCTTAAGTATTTTCTGGTTGCTTGTGGTGTTATTTAAGAAAAATGTAAGTGTGAACGCACAGATACAATGTTTCAATATTGACATCAAGTATATATTTGTGGTACAGCAACCTGCGAGGCGAGGGTGCAGTGCTGCCACCTGCTGGGCATCTCTGCTGACACTCTAGAGCAGGTGCTGCTCCACCGTAGCATCGAGTCCGGGGGCAACAAGCGTCGCAGTGTCTTCGTCAAACCCCTCTCCATAGCTGATGCTCGCACTCGGCGGGACTGTCTGGCCATGCTCCTGTACTCCAGGTACTGTCACAGACTAGTATAGAGTTTATTGTGATCATGTTTTATTTATCTACTTGTCATTTTGAACACATAACTCAAGAATCTTCTCTCCTTTGAATATACAAAGAGTAATAGTGTTGGAATGGGATGAAGTTGTCCCTAAGGCTTTCTATAAAAAATAAAAATTCAATTAAAATTAAAACGAAAGTCAAAATTTAACTTGTTTATATTCACCTGGTGTAGCAGGTTAAACTTTCCCCTGGCCAGTTCTTTCTGGGGAAATAGCCTTGGCTAAACCTTCCCTGGGAAAAGTATATCCTGGGCTATTTCTTCTCCTTTGGATTTAAGATATACTGAACATCAGTGGGGGGTGGTTCAGCCCAGGCCAGATTCTACCCTATCTGGATTTTGGATATGTCCTGTATAGCTTTTGTTGTGTTGATGAATTTGAGTTGTAACTTTCTTTTTGGCCCCAATATGCAGCAAAGCAGCACCAAGCTATTTCTGTTTGTCTTGTCATGTGGTTTGATTAATCTGTTCAGCCGTACACATGATAGGATTAACATTATTACCATTACTTTAAACTTTGGAGCAGATTTACTTGAAGCTTTTATTTTGCAAGAATTGTTATTATTTACCTAACTCATCTTCAGGGTGCTTTCAAAGTTATTGTAGTCTTGCAATACTACATAGTAGTTAAATTCGGGGCACGAGATACCCAGTCATCACAGGCACTGCAATTTGCTGTCCTGAGTTGCGTCCCTTTGGTGTGTCAGGAACCTATGATCGTGAGTTCGAATCCCGGTTAATCCTTATAATGTTTATACATTTGTCAGCACCATACCTGTGGTCGTGGCTTCCACCAAAGTGATAAACATCTTACACCCTAATCACCTTACTTTCCGCCAGCATCAAGCTGACGCACCAGGATACAACTTAAATACTGTTCAAGGCAGCATTAATCCCACCTCAATCACTCACACACTCACATGTTTAATATTCTAATTTACCAAGGAAATGTATCATATTATGTTCACTACCAGTGTGGATAAAGGGAACGTTACTATTATGGCATGTTTGTCACAAAAGTCAGTGGGGCGGTTGGGTAGCCTAGTGGTTAAAGCGCTCGCTCATCAAGCCAAAGACCCGGGTTCGATTCCCAACATGGGTACAGTATGTGAAGCCCATTTCTGGTGTCTCCCGCCGTGATATTGCTGGAATATTGTTAAAAGCAGCGTAAAGAAAAGTCAGTAAGGAGGGAGATAAGATGGTTACAATGGGTGCATCTCATTGTACCCTGATGGATGTGGATTGTTGCTCATGCTATCAACCACTGGTTTACCTTGTTCAGGTGATGTGTGTTATATTCCTCACTTTTACATATCAACAGCATCCACCCACTCATGTCAAAAGGTAGTGTACTTTGTTCCGATATCTACTGCATAATATACTCTTTCCTTTCAGACTGTTTGATTGGTTGGTCAACTTCCTGAATCAGCAGATTAAATCGGAGGAGCAATCCCGAATGATTGGTGAGAAACATCAAAAAGACTAAACCAAACTGTACACACTGGGTACTCACTGTCATTTAATAATGTACTGGTCCCTCTCCAGCTGTGGCCCCGTGAAGATCCGGAGTAGAATAGGTCTTCAGCAACCCATGCTTGCCTTAAAAGGTATCTATGCTTGTCGTAAAAGGCGACTGACGGGATTGGTTGGTTGGCGCATGTCATCGATCCAAATTGCGTGGATCGATGCTCATGATGTAAATCACTGGATTGTCTGGTCCAGATTTCATTATTTAAAGACCGCAGTCATATAGCTGGAATATTGCTGAGTGCGGCGTTAAACAACAAACAAAACAAAATTCTCCGGCAAGGGTGGAAACTGGACCTTTAAAGTCAGTAAACGTCCTTGCCTCGGGCAGATGCTCACTCTCTCTCACACTCACTCTATCACACTCACATTCACTCACTCACTCACTCACACTTTTGTCATTGTTGTAGTATATCAAGTTTTTGTTTCCAGGATTACTGGACATCTATGGCTTTGAGATGTTTGATGTCAACAGTCTGGAACAGCTGTGTATCAATTACGCCAATGAGAAGCTGCAGCAGCATTATGTCTGTCACTTCCTGGGAGACCTGCAGGTGGGTTTGGGCCACACCAGAATGTTTGACATGCACTACATTGTTCATCATGAGTTTAGCAATCAAATTGCTGAAGTTGGCACCAGTTTTATCAAGTCATCAAATACATGTGGGGATTAACCCCAGAAGCACGAAGTCAAGTACTGTAATACAGTGCAGTGTTTTTTCTTGTTTGCTCTTTGTTTCTAATTATTTCCTTCCCTTTGTTTGCTATATTCAGAGAGAGTATGAAGCTGAGCACATTCCATGGCGACACATTGATTACCATGACAACCAGCTGTGTCTTGATGTGCTGGAGGGGAGAGTTGGAGTCTTTGGTGTGCTCAATGAGGTACAGTCCCTATTAAAAATATATTGCATATTTCGGAAATCTTTCATCGACCATCCAGAGATTTGTCTAGACCAGGGCCCCATTCTGCAAAGTAATCTTAGCACTAAGACGATCATAACTCCCATACTGTAACATAGGCTTATGACAATCGTAGCGCTATGATCACTTTGTTGAATGGGGCCCTGCTCAGGGCCAAAATTAGGCCTAAATCTCTATCAAATGTCAGTAAACATTCCCATATTGGATTTAATAAATTACTTCCTTTTAGAGTTATAATTAATGGTATGGCTTATCATAGGTGACATATGAATATCTGTTTTGAATAATATTACATTTCCTTCCCAATTAGGGGGGTAGTCTCCTGGTTAAAGTGTTCGCTCATCATGCCTAAGGCCCAGGTTTGATTCTCCACATGGGGACAATGTGTGAAGCTTATTTCTGGTGTCCCTTGCCTTGATATTGTTAGAATATTGCTGAAAGCATTGTAAAACCATACTCACTTACTCACTCCGCTTTGAGAAGAGATGATATCCTAGATTGATTTTCCTGATCAGTATTCTGCTATATTGTCAAACTTTACCCATTGCTTTACCCATTCGAACTCCCTGTTCTCTTCTAGGAAGTGTACCTCAACAGGAAGTCTAACCCCCGGAGTCTCGGGGAGAGGGTGCTGGATGTCAACAACAGTGCCCCCATCAAGCGCCCCAAGACCTTCTCCACACATCCTGGCTTTGTCATACAACACTACGCTGGAGATGTGCGGTACGACTTGGAGCAAATCACAACCAAAAACAAAGTAAGTAGCCAGCACATTTTTTAGGGTTCCCCCTTTCATCGTCTTGTGAAAGGGCTGTGATATTATCCTAAAACATCATCTAACTGGAAAGAATATGAATTGGTTCCAAACATTGTATACCTAGATAACAGGATTCTTTGTTGTGTTGTTGTGTTATGGACAATGTGTTGATTGGGGCCATGTTGTCATGGAAACAGTAGAGAGGGGTAATGTGGGCCATGTTGTCATGGATACAATAGAGCGTTGATGTGGGGCCATGTTGTCATGGATACAGTAGAGTGTTGATGTGGGGCCATGTTGTCATGGATACAGTAGATTGTTGATGTGGGGCCATGTCATGGATACAGTAGAGTGTTGATGTGGGGCCATGTTGTCATGGATACAGTAGAGTGTTGATGTGGGGCCATGTTGTCATGGATACAGTAGAGTGTTGATGTGGGGCCATGTTGTCATGGATACAGTAGAGTGTTGATGTAGGGCCATGTTGTCATGGATACAGTAGAGTGATGGTGTTGCAGGACAACATTCCCGTGGAGTTGGTACGGCTGCTGCAGCAGAGTGACAACGCTTTCTTGTCTCACCTGTTTGAAGAGTTCCACACTGTGGAGATGTCAGGCAGGAAGAGGAAAACTGTCCTCACTAAATTCAAGGTAAGTCCAATGTGTTTAGTATAAGCACTGCTTGCCTGCATGTTCCAGTGCTCATTGCATTCTGCCTCTGAATCATTAAGCATACCTGAGAAGAAACTTGTCTTCATCTGAAATATCATAATGACATTTTAAAACTTTTGATTCCAAGTTGGAATAGGACCCAAGCAACCTGTGTGGTTGTATGAGGCGGGCAAATGGATCAGTTGGTCTCTGTGACTTAATTGATTGTTGTGTCATTGTAACCTGAAGGCGTGGATTGTTGCTCATAATATCAGTCACTGGATTGTGTGGTCCGTCATGTAGTGGGAATATTACTGACTGCTGTGATAAAACAACAAACTTAACTATATCACTGTCTTTGTCAGGTTTCTCTTGATGGTCTCTTGGCAACACTCAAGTCATGTGATGTTCACTACGTCCGCTGTATCAAGCCGAACCAGCACAGTCAGCCAGGCCAGCTTGATCCAACCTTTGTCCTCCAACAGCTGAAGGCTAACGGCATCCTTGAGACAGTGGAGATATGCAGGAAGGGGTACTCTGCCAGGTAAGTTGTTGATGACATCCTCAAGACAGTGGGGGGGGGCACAGGTGGCCCAGTCGTCTAAGGCGCCGCGATTCGCTATGCAGAGTTGCGTCCCTTTGGCACGCCAGAAACCTATGATTGTGGGTTCGAATCCCGGTTCCCCCGATTATGTTTCTAGGTTTGTCAGCACCATACCCTTGGGTTTCACCGAAGTGGTAAACTTCCAAGACCTGCATCACTTCGGGCTTTCCTCCCACATTAAGCTGACACACCATGATATAACTGGAATACTGTTAAAAGCAGGGATAAGCCCAACTCACTCACTCACTCACTCAAGACAGTGGAGATAGGCAGGAGGGGGTACTCAGCCAGGTGAGTTGTTGACGACATCCTGGCGACAGTGGTGATAGTCAGCCAGGTGAGTTGTTGACGACATCCTGGCGACAGTGGTGATAGTCAGCCAGGTGAGTTGTTGACGACATCCTGGCGACAGTGGTGATAGTCAGCCAGGTGAGTTGTTGACGACATCCTGGCGACAGTGGTGATAGTCAGCCAGGTGAGTTGTTGACGACATCCTCGAGACAGTGGAGATAGTCAGCCAGGTGAGTTGTTGACGACATCCTGGCGACAGTGGTGATAGTCAGCCAGGTAAGTTGTTAACGACACCCTCAAGGCAGTGGTGATAGTCAGCCAGGTGAGTTGTTAACGACACCCTGGAGACAGTGGTGATAGTCAGCCAGGTGAGTTGTTAACGACACCCTCAAGACAGTGGAGATAGTCAGCCAGGTGAGTTGTTAACGACACCCTGGAGACAGTGGTGATAGTCAGCCAGGTGAGTTGTTAACGACACCCTCAAGGCAGTGGTGATAGCCAGCCAGGTGAGTTGTTAACGACACCTTCAAGACAGTGGAGATAGTCAGCCAGGTGAGTTGTTAACGACACCCTCAAGGCAGTGGTGATAGTCAGCCAGGTGAGTTGTTGACGACATCCTGGAGACAGTGGAGATAGTCAGCCAGGTGAGTTGTTAACGACATCCTCAAGACAGTGGAGATAGTCAGCCAGGTGAGTTGTTAACGACATCCTGGAGACAGTGGAGATAGTCAGCCAGCTGAGTTGTTAACGACATCCTGGAGACAGTGGTGGGAGTCAGCCAGGTAAGTTGTTAACGACATCCTGGAGACAGTGGAGATAGTCAGCCAGGTGAGTTGTTAACGACATCCTGGAGACAGTGGAGATAGTCAGCCAGGTGAGTTGTTAACGACATCCTCAAGGCAGTGGTGATAGTCAGCCAGGTGAGTTGTTGACGACATCTTCAAGACAGTGGAGATAGTCAGCCAGGTGAGTTGTTAATGACATCTTCAACATCCGGTCAGACCATCTCAGTTCTATAACTATTTGTCCTGAATAGCACGATTGGTAGTCACTGATATCTGTCTGGTGGATCAGTGTATTTGCAGTATTCAGCACACAGTATGGAGTCTGTCTCCATAGGAGTGTATAGATTGTGCACCCTAAAACAGGCTACATATGGCCAGGCTATGAGACTCAGCTGATTGAGTGTCACAGTACCGTAATGGAATACTGTAAAAAATGGTGTTAAACCCAACTCACTCACTCACTCACTCACTCACTCACTCACTCACTCACTCACTCACTCACTCACTCACTCACTCACTCACTCCAATCCTGTTGTGGTAGATTAGGTTGTGATGTGTCATGCCTGTAGATATCGGCAAAGGAGAAGACATGATCTGTACACATGTATGATGTATGGTTAGGGAAATATCACATGTTTCCTGTCACAGACTGCCGTACTGGGACTTCCTGCAAAGATACGGCCTCCTCATTCGAGATGAGGAGTGGAGAGCAGATGGGTCCGGGGACAAGGGAGGTGATGTCTCTGACCCTGTGGAGATCTTACTACAGAAACAGCGGTCTGCCACGCCACACCACTCCACCACTCCACAGAGAGTGCTCAGAAGGAGGACAGGTCAGTTACAGTGTGTTTACATACATACAACTGATTAACCGGGATTGTCACATCTTAGTACTGGCATCAGTAACACATGTGAGTGACATCTTCCTGAGGCAAGGGAGTTAACTTACTTTAAATGTCCAGTTTCCACCCTTGCCGAACTAGGCTGCAAGTATTGAGTTATACTTTGGCTGGATGAATGAGTCTATACATAGTCCAATCAAAATCGCGTAGCAAATCGCGAAAAATGGTAAATGGCATGGATTTCAACATGCAGATTTCGGTCGCTTGCAGGATTTCCAAAAGATGTCTACCGTCAACTCGGTGTCGACAGATATTTTTATTTTTATTCATGTTTTTAATCAAGGTGCTCCAATGATTCGATGCACCTATTTCATTACAATTTAGATCTTGATTATTGATCAGATCATCTTGACTGGGCGCCGCCATTTGATTCTAAGCAAAAGAAAGCGATATGAGAGGTGGATTCTGATTGGTCAGGAGGGACACAGAAGGGACATAACTCGTAATAGCCACTGGTGGCGCTACGATTGAGCCCAGAAATTCCAGCATAGTTCTGCAAGTGTGGAAACTGGATTTAAATAGTTGTTCCTTGCCTCGGGAAGATGTGCATGTGACAGCTGCACAGCTTCAGCTGGGATATAGATAAGGCACACCACTGCTTGGTACAGGATATACTCCCAGTATCATCCAAGCCACTCAAGAGCAAGCTGTCATTTCCCTTCTCCCAAATTGTAGTGACGTGTAGAAACAAATATTAACCAACAGACAAAACAATTGGAAATTTCACAAGCACACGTACATGTTCGAGTGTCGCCCAGTCAAGACGATCTGATCGATAATAAAGATCTATATTGTGATAAAACGGATCTTACATCGCGAAGTACATCAGCTCACATGAGCAACTTGATTAAAAACATGAAAAGACTTGGAAAATATCTGTTGACGAGTTGGCGGTGAAAAAGTTTTGCAAATCCTGTGGTCGACCGCTATCTGTTTGACAGTTTAAGAACCGGATTTTGATTTCAGGGTGCAAATTTTTGGGACTATGCATAGACTCGTTAGTCCCGCCAAAAAACTCCATAAAACCAGCCTAGTTCGTCAAGGGAAACTGGGCTTTTATTGTCAGTTAACTCTCTTGCCTCGGGAAGATGGCACACGTAGTGTGTGCAGTGAAATTATAATTTCATTAGTAAAATGTAGTAGATGTGGTATTGGTATCTTCATCATTATAACCCGAAGTAGACAATTTTAAAGTACAAGAAATCTTTCCATCAAGAGCTCGTAAAAAATCTTACCAATAAACCCTTCATGGTGTCAACCAACCACCTCACACGTGTTTGAGTAAATACTTTTAGTTTTTGTGTAAGTCACCCTTTCAGTAAGATTCTATGACAATACGAGTCCCAAACAGTCTATTAGTGATGCAAGGGGCTTTGCTAATCAAAAAAATGCGCCCGTAGAGGCACATAATCTGATAATGTTGTCAGGTCGAACGACCACGTGGATGGTCCGGACTTGAAGATGACCTATGAACCCCTGCTATCAGGCTCAGGATCGTAACGATCGAGTACCAAACAGGATGGGGGCCCAACAGGCGTGTAAAAAAATATCCATGTGTAGTGCCCGATTCAGACCTTGACCAGTCAGTAATATAGCTGGGGTAAGAGTAACCACTGTGAAACATTAGTGTCAGTGGGTTGCCAATTAAACTCCACGCATGGTTGTTGGCTGGGACCTGTGACTGGTGGCATAGATAGAGCTTCAGCAAAGTGCTATCCCTGTGAGGAGCTTGAGACAATACATTGTGACAATATGTAAGCCAGTAAGGACACATACATTTGTCAAAAAAAATCAAGGCATTGTTACATAATTGCTTGTCAGGAATTTAGGGAGCTGGGCAATGCAAAAAGTAAAAGCTGATTTAATTTTAAGAGAATACAAGCAATCGTTGTAATGATGATCACTTCTTCTTCTTTTTAAAGTATTGAAACTAATTTTCCGTGCTATGTATCCCAGATATTCCTTATATCCTCTAGGCGACACATTTTATATTTTTTGTTTCAGGTCAGAATGACTTTCATATAAATAAATAATTGACTTTTATTTTTGTTTTTACTTCGACCGAGCTTGTGGGAAAAACTGGAATAAATGCGTGAAACATCAAATTAAAAAAAGTGTGGCCCTAGTTGGAGTTGGAGTCCCAGTGTTAATGAAACAGAGACCTACATCTGAGTGTGAATTAAATGATAACATAATAACCTACCCATTTTCAGGATTGTCCAGTCTTGACCACACCCGCAAGTGTTGTGCAGTTGTTCTGTCTCGAGTCCTTGGGCCTCAGTTTGTTCAAAATGGTGGAGTTCGAGATCAGTTTGGAAAGAATAAGATCTTCTTGCTGCAGCAACAGGTATCACTGCTGATTTGTTTCAAAGTCTTCCCAACTATGTGGGGATTCTAGGTTAGAATTGGTCCCCACCTACCTATGCTGGTTATAACAGGCGACCAAATGGATCAGGTGGGCAGGCTCGGCAGCTTGGTTGATAGCATGTTATCATACCCCGACGGCGTAGATCGTTGCTCACATTATCAGTCACTGTATTGTCTGGTCCAAGCTTGATTATTTACAGGCCATTATCATAAAGCTGAAATATTGCTCTGACATTTGCAAATTACACATATATTTTGTCTCACAATGACGCTGCATTGGTAATGTTTGTTGCCTTGTGCTATTATAATATTTTCTTGTGTATAATGTGCTCTGAGTATAACCATGCAAGCTTTAGAAAAGATGCTATCCTGTGTATAATGTGCAATCAAAAACATCATCGCATCGCTTCAGGTGAAGTGAGCAAAATGTAAATTTTGCCATAATAGGTTTCTGAACATGATAATGTCAGTTGTATTCCTTTTTATTCTTGTATTTTTCGTTGAGCAGAGGTTAATATTATCATGGTATCTGATAGTGTAATAACAGAACTATCTGGTGTACCTCAGTATGGAAAAACTCAGAACTGTCTACAATCGTCTTTATATAATGCTCCCACCTCTTCACGGTTGTAGACTGCCTCCGTGGTAGAGCGTCCGCCTGGAGAGCGGAAGGTCCGGGGTTTGATCCCCGACCCCGTCATACCAAAAGACGTTAAAAGATCGTACTTGTTTTTACCCTGTCTGGTGCTCTGCATTAAGGGGCTAAACAAGGACTGGTCGGCTCGGAGTCAGTATACTGTGTCTGAGTGGGGTATTCATGTTAAACTGAGGCAAGGTATCTCAGTGAGCTAGCACTATAAATCGGCATCAGTCCGGACTAGTACAAGCAGCCACACAAACACACACACGTACATGCACGTCGCTATATAAATGCAATAATCTTGGACGCGACGTTAAACCCAATTTCACCTCACCTCACTTTCACGGTTGTATTTGGGAGAAAAAGGTTGGCATTATACACATGACAATATTCTAAGTTGTAGCAGGATCACTCAGGGTACATGAGGTTTATGTGTCCTGCGTAAGACTTTATACCTCGAGTGATCCTGTTACAACGAATTTATCTGACCGACCTGTTCTAATATGACATTGTAAAAGAATTAAAACAAATTCAAAATTGATAGAAAAGAGGTGGTCCTTTGAGCGGAGGTTAGCTTGTGCTCTGTCATGTGACTTTCACTGACTTGGAAAAACCGTACAGAAGTTTGCTTAGAAACGGGGTCTAAGGGATTTATTCTGCCTCTCGGTAATCCATGTGCAGCCTGTCTTGTTTGTGGCAGGGTATAAGGGATTTATTCACCCACTGAGAAGTTGATTTCATTCCAAGGGGGGTTACACAGTATTTTATCACATGGTCCAATCATTCGGACATGGGACCCGTGAAGATCCGGGGTAGAATAGGTCTTCAGCAACCAATGCTTGCCGTTAAAGGCGACAATGCTTGTCGTAAGAGGCGACTAACGGGATCGGGTGGTCAGGCTCGCTGACTTGGATGATGCATGTCATCGTATCCCTATTGCAGGGATCGATGGTCATGATGTCAATTACTGGATTGTCAGGTCCAGACTCGATTAATTTAGGACAGCCATCATGTAGCCGGAATATTGCTGAGTGCTGCGTTAAACAACAAACAAAAAAAAGAAAACATTCTGACATGGCGGTATCGTTTGGTACGTTATGTTGCAGTTTGAGGCCCTGGAGGCAGCACGGAATGGCCTCCTAGCCAGATACGCCATGACCCTCCAGAGGGCCTGGCGGAGATACCTGGAGTGGAGGCAGAGGAGGAGGATGCTGGCTGTGGGGGTTATCTGGGCTGCCTGGAAGACGTACACCGAGCGGAGGTGTCGTGCTCGACAACACATGGCTGCCTGCTGTATACAGAGAGGTGAGATCTTGTTGTCCTGGGTGCCCTGGTACAAAGCGATCTTAGTGCTGAGGTGATCGTAACCCCCATACCCAAACATAGACTTACAACAGTCGTAGTGCTAACACTGTTTTGTACAACGGCACCCTGCTGTATAAAGAGAGGTGAGATCTTGTCGAGAGCTTTAGAGTAATGAATGCAACATCATACCAGCTAACCTTGTAGAGTTGTTTAACTCTACAAAGCAACGCAGAATATGTTGCCATTGTGCTGAAACTAAAGTAGTTATACTCTTGTTATCTGACAAATGAACCCATAAAATCCTGACCTGTAAGCGAAAGATGTTTTATATGCACCGTATGTACACACTAGTAAATACCAAATCTGAAATAGTGATTGTATTCACACGAACCAGGATACAACATTTAAGAAGCACTCGTAAAATATCACAATATAGCAATTGTTTGTTCAAATACAAGGACATGGGTACAATGTGTGAAGCCCATTTCTGGTGTCCCCTGCCGTGATATTGCTGGAATATTGCTAAAAGCGGCACAAAACCACACTCACTCACTCACTTAAGTACATGACCTTTGGAATGAAGATCACTGTTGACTCCATGATACCATTGCTATCCCACACACTGGACTGAGCTAGACTGAACTGATACAACACAGGATTGTTTCCCCTTAGCTTCCAATGTGGACCACCTGTGGATATTCCAGGTAAAACATGTCCCAGTAACCGATGCTGGCTGTTAGAGGTGTCTGAGGTGGATTTGGGGATTTGGTTGATTGTGTGTCACCATACCCCACTGCGTGGCTTGCTAAAGAAGTTAAAATAAGGTCCTTGTTGTTGCCCTGCCTGGTGTGCTGCATTAAGGGGATGGACTGGTCTACTCGGGAGTCGGCACACTGTGTCTGAGTGGGGTATCCATGTTAAATGGTATCTCAGTGGGCTAGTGCTATGAAGTCTGGACTAGTACAAGCAGGAGGAAATGCACGTACACTTATTTAAGTGAAACAATCTTTAACCGCGACGTTTTTACACCCCACCCAATTATCTCATTTATTACAGGGATTTATAAACAATACACTCCGTGTTCCTACCGGTTTTTGAAACTGCCAGTCCTCATGGACTGGCAACTCTAAAAAATTACCAGTCCCCCCTAATTTTTGTCAGTCCCAACTTTCAACAAGTAAAAAACGTATCAAAATTACCTGGTCTTTATTATACCCCCGTTTACGAATTAAATCGGGGGTATATAGTGTTCTGTCTGTCCGTCCTTCCGTCCGAGCTTTTGTACGGCCCATAACTTTTTAACCATGCACCTTAGCTTCATCAAACTTGCTACACACATTTACCACAATGAGTACTTGTGCCTTTTGCTAGTTTGAAGAGCCTGAATTTTTTAATTTTTGCCGTTTCCATGGATACATTAAGAAACATCAAGAATGTATGTTGTGCTAAGCATTGATTATCCCACACTAGATTGAAATATATTTGCAAAAACATGTGTTCATTTCAAACATAATGCATCCTCATGGGGTTACAAAGGAAAGGGCAGTTCATCTGATTTAAAGCAACAGGTATATTTCATTAATTAACAAACTATTTACTATTTGTTGTTGACCAGCGGGGATAACGGGGGTATGTGAGCTTTGCTCACTTCTTTCTTGTTCTTTCAACATCATGTTCACTCCAATGATGTGATCTGTGAAGTAACTGAGTTAGATTAACACGTCATTCACACAAAATTCTCACAATTTCTCTCTTCCTTTTTAGACTAAGTCACTACAAATATATATTTAGCCTCAAAGCAAAGCGAAATTGTTATTTTTCGTGCACTAAAACTAGACAAGGGGAAACCCTAATGGTAACAGACAAGCTGTCTTTCATGAATATCGCCGATGTCTTGTTCAACAACAAAGATTTATGTGATACTTTATTTGCCGATCCACAGGGACTGGCAGTCATATGAAGCACTGGTCCAAGCCTAATTTGACTGGTAATTACTGGTAAATGGGAACACTGTACACTGTGAGGTTAAGTATTGTTACAAGAATATACACATCACTGTCGGATGCAGAGAGGGGTTGCTTTTTTTAACCTGTGTCAGTCCCTCCAAGTGGTTTTATTTCAAAGTGTGCAAGGGGCGGTCGGGTAGCCTAGTGGTTAAAGCGTTCGCTCGTCACGCCCGGGTTCGATTCCCGACATGGGTACAATGTGTGAAGCCCATTTCTGGTGTCCCCCCGCCGTGATATTGCTGGAATATTGCTAAAAGCGGCGTAAAACCATACTCACTCACTCACTCACTCAAAGTGTGCAACCACTTTTTCAAAATCCTTGTTCTGCCTCAGTACTCATTTATATAACATGGTCTAAAATATGTTGAAAAATGCTTTATTTTGATTGTATGTTTGAGAGATCTTATTCCACATACTTGAATTTACCCCACATTGACTGAATATTTTCAGTTGTGCAATTCTTCCTTCCCTTTTGTGATGGAGAATGTCACCCTCTGTGGCAAGCATGGAGTGATCCATATCGTAGCGTGACAGTGTACCATTACCTCCCTACTAATGAATGAATGAAAACATGCAATCGCCACAAATTGGAACTGATCAACCAAAATATTGCTTCGTCAACCACGTGCAAATCAAATTTCAGACCTGTAAATTAATTAAAAATTGAATGCATTATCTTCAAGCATTCGCATGTTCTTAGAAGCTTTAGGTAGCTATATATAATTTAAATTAGATTGATTCTGTAGTTAGGAATGTGGCATGGATTTCGCCAGACATCCGTATTTCTTCCGCTGACCTGGCATCAAAGACTTGAGTGCATCACAGACACCTTGTTGCCTTGATAGGGTTAATGTGGGCCATGTACGTGTGTGTGTAATAATTGGAATTCCTTTTCATACCTCGTGACATTTTAGATGTAATATTGCACTGTTGATCATTAACCATTTACTCTTTCAAATGTTCCCTTACTAGATTACTGTCCCGATTTAACTCACCTGACATTCACTTGTGTGTTTCTGTGCAGTCTGGAGTGAGTGAGTGAGTTGTTTTATGTGGCTTTAAACAGTGTTTCAGTTATATCACTGCTTGTCAGCTTGATGTGTTTTCTGGGGGGTGAGGTTTGCCCCGATTATGTTTCTAGGTTTGTCAGCACCATACCGGTGCTCGTGGATTTCACCGAAGTGGTAAACGTCTTAGACCTGCATTACTTCGGGCTTTCCTCCCACATTAAGCTGACATGCCGTGATATAACTGGAATACTGTTAAAAGCGGTGTTAAACCCAACTCACTCACTCACACTCTGGGGGGTGAGTCCCATCCAGGATTCGAACCAACACTGCCAGAGTGAGGCACCTAATCACCAGTACACAAAGGGATCTAAACCACTCAGCCACTTAGGCTTCCACAAAAATGGTCCTCCGTCAACTGGTAGTCTAGATCACATACTTTGTGTGTGAGAGTTAGGGTTCAAATCCAGGATGGGACTCACTCAACCCCAAAAAGTACTAGAATCTGTACTTTTCTAAGAAGGTGTTATCTCAAACATAACATTTGTTATATTTGACCTCTTTCTAAATGGAATTGTGTATTCATAGCTAACAAAAATGAACAACAAAGGCGAGCATAAATAGACTACCCAGGGACCGAGCATGTTCCTAGAAAGGCGAGAAAACAGATATGACAGATATTTATGTTAGGTTACATGCATGTGGGTAGTACCTTTTGTTTGGTTAAGTTGACAACAATATTTGGGATAACATTTAGATCAATGTTATATGGTTTGGAAGTGTTTGGAACCTTCAGATGTGTGATGACAATTAAATATCCTTTGACATTTGACACTAACCAGTTGTTTTAGATGATTAACCCTTGCTAATTAGAGTGCAGCCTAGACTTATTGAATACAGAGGTAATTACATTTAGTAGACAATGATGTTTTAGAGTAATGTTTACTTGTTGGATAATGGGGATTAAGGCTTGTTTACATTGGCACATTGACACCCAACATTATGTCATAGCTTACATAGCTTTAATGTTAGATTAAACATTGCTTCAACAGAGAATATTGTTGAAATGTTTTGGTTTATGTAACACAGTATTTATTGTTCAACATTTTGGTGATTTAGAACATTGCAAGGATATTATTTTTTGAAACTTTGTGTTAAGGTCTAATTTATGAATAACTACCATTTAAAGTTTTTCTAACAGTTATTATAGTATTAAACATCATTGCAAAACTTATTTAATGATAAAACCAATGGTAAGGGTATGGAGCTGACCGTTAACCTAATCAGTTCAAACTGGGATTTGAACCCACAATCATAGGTTTCCAATATGCCAAGGGGAGGCAACTCTGTACAGTAAATTGTGACGCCTTTGACAACTTGGCCACCTGTGCCTTGTGCTATCTAGTCAGACCACAGGCCTCCCAAGGGTAGAACTTAGTGGATAAAACAAATACATTTATAGGGAATTGCAGTTGGAGTACATACAAAACCACAGTTATCAGGACATAGCAGGGTTAACCAGTTTAAGGGACTGTTAACAACCTACTTGTTCTGATCTACCTATAACTCTCACTGAACTCTCTCATTGACCACCAGACTCATGCAAAAGCGCCTTTGGGCAGATCCAATCTGGAAATTGGCGCTATATAAATTTATCTTATATTTGGGATAACGCTTTCTCATTAAAGTACAGATTCCTGTACTTATTACGTACCAGACAGGACTCAACCCCCAAAAGTATGAATCTGTACTTTACTGAGAAAGTGTTATCCCAAATATAACATTACAACATTTGACCACTTTCTAAATGGCATTGTGTGTTCAACACTTTTTAAGTAAAGTACAAATTCTAGTACTTTTTTTCTTGTTGAGTCCCATCCGGAATTCAAACCCACACTGCCAGGGTGAGGCACCTAATCACCAGCACACAAAGTCAGCGATCTAACCTACTCAGCCACTGAGACTTCCACAAAATGGAAGTTTTACAACTTGTAGTCTAGATCACATACTTTGTGTACCCCTCTGACAAGTTTAAATCTCTGTACTTCTTATTTTTCTTAATTAATCTATTGTTATGCAGTTTGTGACTTTAGCCATGAGTCCAAAGCCAGAGTCTTGTAAAATGTATTATGGACTAGTAAGTCTTACTAATAATATGCACACACTAAGATCTACTGGGCAAGTGACAAGCAGACTCAAAAGGCTTTGGCACAATCTCGTTATGTATACATGTTCAGGGTAATCCTATTCAGGGTAATCCGATTGCATGTCATTTTATATAGCCGTATTTATATACATGTTCAGGGTAATCCTATTCTGGCCATACATTTGAATAGGATAACCCTGAACATGTATATAAATACGGCTATATAAAATGACATGCATTGACATATAATATGTTTACTGTTAAACAAATACAGTGGCATGCATTAAGTGTTAATTTAATGCATTCAATTGCAACAAAAGGCAACTTGGTAACGAAGTAATGCCTTGCTTGTTGAAGAAAGACAAAGCACTTGCTAATTAGGATTCTTAATTAATATTCAGTGCCAAGTGGTTGATGCCATGGACCTGATTAATCTGTAGATAGGTGATTAATTAACTGTTTTGATAGTGTGGACTTAGTGGTGGGTCTCATTTGCTTGTTACAAGAGTATATATACCTCAAAGAGGTAAAACACAGCATATATTTCTTCTCAACTGGATGTCAGATTGTGCTCTGGTGACAGCTTTGTGATTCAAATTGTTTCAACTGGTCCTCAGAAGCTTTTAGTACTTTGACCTGTTTGTTGAAACAAGTCAGCAGCTAATTTTTGAAAACTAATCATCTATTTTTGGCAGCAACTTTGAAACAGAGTATAATATCTGTACCCCTTGTATTTGTTTTATTTGATAGTTGAGGACATTGTTACAAATTGTTCCTCATGTATGTGTCAGGAGTGCAGTGCTGGTTGGCCAAATGTCGACTGAGGGATGCCCTGAAGGCCATCCACACCCGGACCATAGTTCCTGGGTCGTCATGGGTACAGCAGAGTCCAAGTCAAGGCGGCAAGAGGAAGCTGCAGCTCAACCCATCAGATAGACACCCAGTGTCCAGCGGTACCCCCTGTCCTCAGGGTCTGGCGGTCAGCAAGGAAAACCTGAACCCCAGGACAGATCTTCCGTCTGTGTGGGAGTCGCTGTCTGAAGACTCTGGTATCGATGATGGTGCCCAGGCTGGTGGCAGTGGGTACGACATGACGGGGCCACCGACCAAGAGACTGAAACTGACTTGCTCCACCTACGGCAACCTCCATGACGTCCACATCGGCGATGGTGTCGTCACCCGCAGAAAGATACCAGTGGTAAGAATGTAAACTCAATATAGTAGTGTTCTTTGCACTACATATGATAGTGTTAGCTTTGCAGTGGTGCTCCAATATCTATCTCTAAATATTTCATTCGAGAAGACAACCTCTGTGGTCTCAGAGCGTTTACCAGGAGAGAGGGAGGTTGGTGGTTTGACCCCTGTCTGCATCATACAAAAAATGGTATTCATTGTTATCCTGTCTGGCGCTAATCTTTAAGGGGCTATAAGGACTGGTCGGAGTCAGTATACTGTGTCTGAGTGAAGTGTCCATGTTCAACTCTGACATGGTATCTCAGTAGGCAAATACTGTATAACCAGCATTGTCCGGACTAGTACAAGCCTGAAAACCAACTTGTGCAAGTACACCGCTATATAAGTGCAATATTTATTAACCCAATTGTTAAGCCAGTTTTTCCTCACCCCACTTTCATACTGAATGTAACTTACTAGTCTCAATGGGGCAGTCGGGTAGCCCAGTGGTTAAAGCTTTCGCTCGTCACGTCTAAGACGTGGGTTCAAATCCCGACATGGGGACGATGTGTGAAGCCCATTTCTGGTGTTCCCTGCCATGATATTGCTGGAATATTGTTAAAGCGGCATAAAACCATACTCTCTCACTCACCACTAGTCTCAACAAGTATTATGCCTGCAGTGTTGTAGGTAATCTTTGCAATTGTTAATTGACTTGTCTTATGACAGGGATGTCAAAGAGTTGTGTGTGTTTGTTGTTTTAATCTCCATCATTAATACATTGTTATCCTTCACGCTTGCAGGGTGGTATGAGGTTCCACACCAGGGCGAGCGTGCTCAAGAATGCCCATGTTGTCCACAAGAGGGAGCTGGAGAGGGGCATCACAGACTGTCTGATGGACAACCTTGACTGACCTGCTGTTCCTGGAGTACCTCAGCATTGACTATAATCTCTGCGCTTGTAAACAATCTCTGTGCCATTCCGAACAGATACAGTGAAGACTCACAACAGAAACCCGCATATTCTTGTACATAACAGGCGATGGGGTAGCCTAGTGGTGAGAGCATTCGCTCGCCACGCCAAAGACCTGGGTTCAATTCCCCACATAACTACTATGTGTGAAGCCCATTTCTGGTGTAGCCCGACGTGATATTGCTGGAATATTGCAACAAATGGTGTGAAATCATGCTCTGTCACTCACTTGTACATATCGATATGACATTTCGTTTCTGAGTTCAATATTTATTCAGGGTGCATGTTCATTAAGATTTGCACATTATTCTAGCTGCAAGCTTGTTAGTCCACTGTGATTTCAGGGGCCTATTGCACAAAGCTATATTAGCGCTAAGGTAATCATAACTCCCATACTTTAGCATAAGTTTCATAGCACTAAGATGACTTTGTGCAACAGGGCTCAGTCCACAAAGGGATACTGGGGCTACGAGTGCGGGAATAAATGTTGAAGTATCGGAGCTATGGTCATTTTCCACCTAAGATGACCAGGAAGGTGCCATGGAGACGCTCAGTATATCCTCATCCTGAAGTTTGTTGTTAGTTGGATTTAACTGTACATTTCTTAAGAAAGGAGACATAGCTAAATGGCTAACTCTTTTGAGGTATTTGTTAAGATTTTATAACACTTGTTTCTACGTTATCAGATAGTTATATTTGTTTGTGATAGAAGCTGTATAGTGTATTAATCAATCCAGTTTGAAAATTGTTAATCAAGATTGATCATAATTAGATGCTATCACCAGCTGTTTGTTATAGTTTTGTATCTTGCTTTACTTGGTCGCATATGAACATTCCATAATACTTGCCTTGGACCACTTGACATTAATGGTTTTAGCTCTGAGACTTTTGTAACACCTGTACTTTAACATAGTCTAACTATTGGAGTGCTGAGATCGGTTTGTGCAAGTCAGCACTGAGCAGGAAGTGCATGTGTGACCTGAATCTGTATGGTGTCTTTCAATACTCTGTGATATATGGGTATAAAATGTGTCAAACCACCGTGTGCCTTGTTGTTGTCAACCTCCATGAGGTTAGTTGTGTATGGTTCGTATGAACCTGCTTCTGATGTCAATCACAGGACCAGACGATTTTGTCAAAATGACATTATTCTGGTCAAAACCAACAATTGAAATATCAGTTTGAAAACAAAGCATTTTTTATGTTACCCACAACAGCACGGATAAATGTGAAATTATTTTCAGTATTTCTACCTGAGCTTTGTAACAACTGTTTCATTGTTTGCTAAGAGGCCCACAGCAACATGTCATTTGAACAGATTGTCGCAAATATCCCGATCCTGATATTGCTGGGACCGCCTCCGTGGTCTAATGGTAGAGCGTCTGCCTGGAGAGCGGAAGGTCCGGGGTGTGATCCCCAGCCGCGTCATACCAAAAGACGTTAAAACATGGTACTTCTTGTTACCCTGTCTGGCGTGGCATTAAGGGGCTAAAACAAGGACTGGTCAGCTCGGAGTCAGTATACTGTGTCTGAGTGGGGTATTCATGTTAAACTGTGGCATGGTATCACAGTGTGCTAGCACTATAAATCGGCATCAGTCCGGACTAGTACAAGCAGCCACACACACACATACATGTGCATGCACGTAGCTATATAAGTGCAATAATCTTGGGAGCGACGTTAAACCCTATTTCACCTCACCTCACCTCACCTCACCTCACCTCACCTCACCTCACCTCACCTGATATTGCTGCTGTCCACCATCAATTAGTGGAATACTGCTAACAGCAGAGTAAAACAATACTCACTTGTAGTAACACCTGAAGATGCGGGTTTCAACTGGTCTTCAGCAGCCCATGCGTGTCATAAAACAGTGTCTAACCGGATTGGGTGGTCAGGCTTGCTGACTTGGTTGATGCATGTCGTATCCCAAATGCGTAGGTCGATGCATGATGTCAATCACTGAATTGTCTGATCCAGACTCTAATATTTAGAGGCTTCCTTCACACAGCTGGAATATTGCAGAATGCAATATCTTGTAGCGACCGCCTTTGTGGCCCAGTAGTTTAGAGTTTCTGCTCAGGGAGCGGAAGGTCGGTGGTTCGATCCTCAGCGGTGGCGTTCACAGACGATGGTACAAGTTTTCCTGGCTGCTTGGCATAAAAGGGGCTAAAACAAGAATGATTTAGTATTCTGTGTCAGAGTGTGGTATTCTTGTTGAAGTGCGGCATGATATGCACTATAATTAGCGCTTGTACAAGCAGCCAGACACATGCGCTCACGCACGCACACAGACACACACACGCATGCATGCATGCACGTACGTCGCCAGAAAAGTGCAATAGCTTTGAACGCGAAATTAAACCCCATTTCAGCTCACATCACTAAGTAGTCGATGCCTGTTGTCTCTTTCTCACAAGAGAAAAAGCCTGCCTTCTGTTATCTATGACTATCTACCCAGGAAACGAGAGTTTCTGTATACAAACGGTTTTAACCTTAGAAGCAAGTGCCCTTGGAGATACCGGGCTAAAGTTGCTCACTTACAGCCAATGATGGTCTTAAAAGTCGACTTCAGGGATCGGATGGTCAAGTTCGGTGAGGGGGCACGTGTGGCCCAGTCGTCTAAGGCGCCGCGATTCGCTGTGCAGAGTCGCGTCCCTTGTACACGCCAGAAACCTATGATTGTGGGTTCGAATCCGGGTTCGCCCCGATTATATTTCTAGGTTTGTCAGCACCATACCCGTGCTCGTGGGTTTCACCGAAGTGGTAAACATCTGAGACCTGCATCACTTGGGCTTTCCTCCCACATTAAGCTGACACGCCGAGATATAACTGGAATACTGTTAAAAGCGGCGTTAAACCTAACTCACTCACTCACTCAAGTTCGGTGACTACAGATGGCGTGTAAACGTACTTGACGGCGTGGATCGTTGCTCACAATGTAAATCGCTGCATTGTCGACTCTTTTGTTTACATGCTGCCGTCATATAGCTGTAATATTGCTGAGACTAACACAAACACACACTTAGAAACTTGTATGAAAATACCACGAAACGGGCGATACGTATGTATATAGAGAATCTCACCCGAGTGTTTTTTTATATCAAATATAGCAACACGAGTTGATAAAAGTGGGAAAACTCCGAGGCTTGCCGAGGATTTTTCCACTTTTATCAACAAGTGTTGATATATTTGATATCAAAAGACACGAGGGTGAGATTTTATTTATCATCCAACATCATTCTTCCAACTTTTTCAGTTTGTAGAAAGTTATAAGCAGTGTCTTAAGTGTAAAAAGCACTACTAACAGCTTCAGTAGCAGAGCCATTAGTGATGACATTTGATTGTGACGTCATGGTAACCAATGACGTCACAATGGTCTGCAAAGCATTGTGATGCAATTTCATTGCAGCGATATCTACAGTATAGATATCGCTTGATCTCACCCAAGCGATATCTCCTGTGGGAGCCAGTTTTGGATGATAAACAAATTTTCGACCCGTGAAGATCCGGGTAAGAATAGGTCTTCAGCAACCCATACTTGCCGTAACAGCCTGACTAATGGGATCGTGTGGTCAGCCTCACGGAGTTGGTTGATGCATGTCTTTGTATTCCAAGTGCGTAGATCGATGCTCATGATAGTAATCTCTGGATTGTCTGGTCTAGACTAGATTATTTACAGACCACCGTCATATAGCTGGAATATTCCCGAGGGTTAGATAACATCAAACAAAGTATATAAATATGAACATTTTACAGTTTGTTCTATTTCAACTATTGCTGTCGGGAATGGTTTTTAGTTGGACACATTTGCAAGCTTCTGACATTTGAAACTGCCTTAACTGACCAGAAAACCTAATAATCACGCAACAGACTATTAAAGACATGAAGAACTGTATTACCAGTGATTAAGAACTTGACTCGCACTGTAAACGTGGCCATTTTTACTCTGCATATGAATATGTCATACCTTAAATATTCTACTCACAAAAGCCATTATCGGTTTCTCTAACGCTCGACTTAACAGTGTTACCAGATAGAGGCTGTCCTATTCCTAGCTTGTTCAGATAATAGCTTCTTGTGTGTCTGTATGGAGCCTCGTTTGAACTTAAAATACACAGAGTGTAGTGTTCCACGTTTGTAAAGGTGGAAGGGCCACTCCGTGTGGTATCCTTCACTATCAAACTACGTTATAGGATGTGATATTCCAAGTCTGTACAGGAGAATTGGTCATTCCATGCCGGCGCGATGAAGCGGGGCTTTATGTCGCGTCCAAGATTATTGCACTTATATAGGACGTGCGTGCGTGCGTGCGTGCGTGTGTGTGTGTGCTTGTACTAGTCCGGACTGATGCAGATTTTATAGTGCCAGTCCACTGAGATACCATGACGTAGTTTAACATAGATCCCCCTCCGACACAGTATACCACTGATTCCGAACCGACCAGTCCTAATTTTAGCCCCTTAATGCCAAACGATAGGCAGTGTAACTACCAGTACCTTCTTTCAACGTCTTATGGTATGACGCGGCGAGGGATAGATCCCCCAACCTTCCGCTCTCCGAGCGGACGCTCTACCACTAAACCACGGAGGCGGTTCTATTGTTTGTTGTTTAACGCCGCACTCGGCAATAATCCAACTATATGACGGCGGCCTGTAAAATAAACGAATCTTGACCGAACAATCCAGAGATTGACATCATGAGCATCGATCCACGCAATTGAGATCGATAACATGCATCAGCGAAGTCAGCGAGCCTGACCACCCGATCCCGTTAGTCGCCTCTTACGACAGGCATGGGTTGCTGAAGACCTATTCTTCTCCGGATCTTCACGGGGCGAACCAAACCCACTTCGGCCTGTGAAGATCCGGGTTAGAATAGGTCTTCAGCAGCCAATGCTTGTCGTAAGGGGCGACTAACAGGATCGGAGGGTGGGGACTTGATTGATGCATGTCATCGTATCCCAATTGCGTGAATCGATGTTCATGATAATCATTGGATTGATTAAACAAAAAAAACAAAACAAAAAAAACCCCAAACCAATGGTATACAATAGCGACTAACAGGATCGAGTGGTCAGGCGATGATATGAATCAATAGATCGTCTGGTCCAGACTAGATTATTTACAGACCGCCGCCATGTGGCTGGAATATTGCTGAGTGCGGCGTTAAACAACAAACAAACAAAGGTTTGGTTCACCATGGAGTATCATGGCTAATCAAGGATCCCCTTTGTGAGTGAGCATGGTTTTACGCCGCTTTTAGCAATATTCCAGCAACATCACGGCGGGGGACACCAGAAGTGGGCTTCACACATTGTACCCATGTCGGTAATCGAACCCGGGTCTTCGGCGTGAGGAGAGAACGCTTTAAACACTAGGCTACCCGACAGCCCCTTCCCCTTGTGTGTCGATACATATAACTGAACTCATTGCAAATACGCAATAAGCGAAGAGCATTCAGGGAAATACATTCCTTGGGCTCAGTAATAACAGTGAACACGAGCATGAGGTTCGTAGCTGAAATATCCTCTTTATCACACATTGATAGCCACTTTAGCTGCTCCAATAAACATAAATAACAAAGACTTTAATGAACCATCGATGGAAGCCTTTTTTTGTTCGAGTTTATTTCAACATTTTGAAATTTACGGCATCATTTAAATGTCATTACGGAAACATCGGCTCTACAAAGAATTTAGAACGCCAGTGTGTGTCTCTCTTGTGAGTCAAATCGATAGAAGACTATTACCCGAATCTGTGACCAATATTACTCCTTTTCTCAACGAAAATACATACTTCATCATTTACTGCGAGGTCTAACTCCGGCCCTGATTCCCAATTAATGTTATTATCACTGTTTGAGAGTTCCTCAGACTGTGCTCCTGACGATTTGTGATAGAAGGAACATGCCCCTAAGATAGGTTCCGAGAGCTCTATTGCTTGCCACAAGAAGCGAGCAAAATGGATAGGGTGGTGAGATCTGGCGTTATTCATACAATATCACTACTCCATTGCTTCCCTGAAGTGTAATGTAGGTAG